ACTAGTCATGTCCGACTCTGGAGGGTGGTGCTCATCTTCATTTCTAAGCCAAAGAGCCGGTGTTCTCCGTAGACACCTCCAAGGTCATATGGCCAGCATGACTGCATGGAGTGCCATTACCTTCCGCAGAAGCAGTACCTATTGATCTACTCACATTTGCATGTTTTTGAACTGCTAGGTTGGCAGAAGCTGGAACTAATAGTGGGAGCTCACCCTGCTCCCCAGACTTGAACTACCAACCTTATGGTCAGCAATTTCAGCAGCTTAGCACTTTAACCTGCAATGCCACCGGGGGCTCCACACACACCCTAGTGTGTAGTAACAAATTTACCATACTAGAAGGTTTCATTGAATCAATTACATTCTACTTCATCAAACAAATGAAATGTTATCCTTAGTCAGAATCTTTTGTTTTCAGACTTTGCCCCAGTTTTAAACAGTGAGATGTTTTATGTCTTCCAGCAGTTAACCAGGACTGTTTCCTTAGAAAGGAATCACTAGAAACTGGTGATGATTCTATGATAAAGACTAATTTCGACATGCAAAGTAGAGCTTTGGCATTCAAGGGTTTCCTGTTCCTGATCAGCTGTCTCAGAGAGCCCATTGTGTCAAGTAAAGCAAAGTCAGCTTTCTCCTTGCTGTCTCAGTACCAACACATACTTCCTGTTATATTCATAGGCCTTCTCTTGATGAAGGGGAGAAGAAAGAAGGGTGGAAAGACAGACAGACAAATCCTAGCCAGTAAGAGAGCCATTTTGCTGCTTTCTTAAAATATTCTAGCTCTTATGGAAATATCAGAACATTACCAGCTACCAACAGTCCTTTCTCAGGTCTTAAAGCAACTCCCAGCATTCCTTGCTATTGACTCTGCTCACTAGAGCTCCTAGAATTTGCAATCCAGTAAAAAACTGTTGGGCTACATGACTCCCATCCTTGTCTTAAGAGCTATTGTCTCAACACTCCAGAATTCTTGAGAGTCAAGGATTACAGTTGGATGGAATCTCAGCTCTATTTATAGTTTATCTTAAAGCAATACAGCATCCCCCGCATATTCTTTAAAAACATTATGCTTTAAGGGTTTATCAGAATATGAATAACAGGGAGGAGGACTTTCTGGCCTTGGAAGGGGAGTTTCAGAGTTGTGGCATAGCAGCTGAGAAGGCCCTCCCTTGCTCTTCACTAACCATGTTTTGTAAAGGTGATGGGATTGAGAAATGGGCCTTTCCTGAGGATCCAGAGCGCAAGCAGGCTCATACAGAGATATGGTCTGACAAACAGGGATCCTATAGCTTGGGCCTGAGCCATTAAGGGACCCTATAGCCTGAACTTGAGACATAACCAGCACTTGGAAATAAACCGGCAGCCAGTGGAGCTCATTCAACACAGGCATAGTGTACAATCTCAGTTGCTGGCCCCAGTTAACAATCTGGCTGCAGCTCCATGGTCCTGATTCTGATCTTGTGTCCCCAACACACTGCTATAGTAGATTTCCCCTTTTCAAGGCCAATGGCAGCACTGAGGAGAAGATCTGGCTCATGATGGGACAACTGGAAAAGTCTGATTTGAATACAGCAGTGTTTCTCAACCTGGGGATTGGGACCCGGGGGGGGGGGGGCGGTCGCAAGGGGGTGTCAGATGGTTGCCAAAGACCATCAGAAAACAGTATTTTCTGTTGGTCATGGGAGTTCTGTGTGGAAAGTTTGGCCTATCTATCATTGGTGGGGTTCAGAATGCTCTTTGAATGTAGGTGAACTATAAATTCCAGCAACCACAACTCCCAAATGTCAAGGTCTATTTTCCCCAAATTCCACCAGTGTTCACATTTGGGAATATTGAGTATCCGTGCCAATTTTGGTCCAGATCCATTATTGTTTGAGTCCAAAGTTTTCGCTGGATGTAGGTGAACTACAACTCCAAAACTCATGGTCAATGCCCACAAAACTCTTCCAGTATTTTCTGTTGGTCATGGGAGTTGTGTATGCCATGTTTGGTTCAATTCCATCATTTATGGAGTTCAGAGGGCTCTTTGATTCTAGGTGAACTATAAATCCCCCCAACTACAAATCCCAAAAGACAAAATTAACCCCCACCCCCACCCCACCAGTGTTCAAATTTGGGCATATTGGGTATTTATGCCAAATTTGGTCCAGTGAATGAAAATACATCCTGTATATCAGATATTTACATTATGATTCATAACAATAGCAAAATGACAGTTATGAAGTAGCAACTAAAATAATGTTATGGTTGGGGATCACCACAACATGAGGAACTGTATTAAGGGGTTGCGGCATTAGGAAGGTTGAGAAACACTGGAGTATAGGAAGCCTCCCAGCACAGAACTCCCCCCTCTTCAGGTTTGGCCCCAAGAAAGCAAAGCAAAGTGGAGGAGGCCCTGAAGTGGGAGGCTGAGCATGACTTCTGCACCAACCACAAGGCCCTCTTGAGTGGGAAAGCAACACCATTTCTCTCTAACAAGGCAAAGGGGGTATCTACATGGGCCAATGAATGCATTTTGAGACCACTTGAGGTGCAATGGAACCTGGGAGTTGCAAGATCTTAAGCCTTCTCTGCCAAAGACTGCTGGTGCGGCACCAAACTACAACTGCTCGGATTCCTTAGCCTTGAGCCAAGACAGTATTTATTTATTTATTTATTTATTTATTTATTTATTTATCATATCAGTAGCAAACTAAACAGTTGTATTATATTTTCTAAAAAAAAAACAGGCAAAGTTTGCAAACTTGGCATTCTATTAAATGTCCTTTGACCAGTAGCTGGCCACTTGGAGTGCCTCTGGTGTTGCTATAAGAAGGTCCCCCATTGTGCATGTGGCAGGGCTCAGGCTGCATTGTATGAGAGGCTGCTGATAAGTCTTTGGCTTTACCCAGAAAGAAATGAGATAGGAAGATTAAACTTTACATTTATTCCACATACTGTCCACTGATATCAACACACTTCTTACATAGGTATTCCAAGTTCTGTAAGCCTTGCAAAAAGAAGGATTTCGGTGGTGCCTCAAACCAGTCATCTGTAGCAGCCATGGCATCAGAAATGGTGTGAAATTTGGTGCCCTTCAGATGTTTCTTCAGGTTTGGAAACAGATGATAGTCAGAGGATCCACCCACCGGATCTAGCTCCACCAGTTTGGCCATGGTCGTTTGTGCAGTGTGAGCAGAGGTGTTGTCTTGCAGGAACAAGATTCCTTTGGACAGCTTGCTGCACCTTCTGGCCTTCAGAACTGCCTTCAATTGGTCCAAAAGTTCAGTGTAATACCTTGCATTGATGGTGGGACCATTTTGAAGTCCACTAGCAGCACACCCTCCTTATCCCAGAACATGGACACCATCACCTTAGTGGATGATTTTTGCTCTCTGAAATTCTTTGGACGAGGAGAACAACTGTACCTCCACTCTTTGGAATGCTCTTTGGCTTCAGGGTCACACAAATAAATCCAGGTCTCATCCATAGTGAGTGACCAGTCGATCCAGGAAGTTCTTAACTGTAGAATATGAAGGGCATTGATCCCCCAATATCTGTGACATATCACCATGAATATCCTTCACAGACTTTCCTTGCAGAAACAATTTTATCACTCCTCTGCTCTCATTTGCTGTGAATATCACCTTAGACTCCGCCATTTTGTTTTTCCGCGTGCCTAAATCACTGTTGCCATAAGTTACAAACACAAAATTTTGAAAACATATATTAGACACATAAGGCTTTCATGTGATGTAACATTTGTTACCATAGAAACAAAACAAGAACACAAAGCCAAAGACTTATCAGCAGCCCCTCATAATAGGTGGTCCTTGGTTTGCTCTTCTTCACACTCCCATGTCATGGACTCCACTTTGTGGCCCCATTTCTAAAGATTGGCTCTGCATCTCATGGTACCAGAGCGCAGTCTGTTCAGCACCTTCCAAGTTGCCCGGTCTTCTGCGTGCCCAGGAGGGAGTCTCTCATTTGGTATCAGCGATTGATTGAGGTTCTGGGTTTTAGCCTGCCACTTTTGGACTCTCACTTGCTGAGGTCTTTTCAGTGAGTGTCCCTGTAGATCTTAGAAAACTATTTCTTGATTTAAGTCATTGGCATGCTGGCTGATATCCGAGCAGGGGATGTCATTGCCAAGGCAGTGAGTGAGAGTGATGTCAAAGGGCATTATTATTATTATTATTATTATTATTATTATTATTATTGATGTTGCAATCCCAGGTGACAGCAGGATTGCAGAGAAGCAACTGGAAAAGCTGACATGATATGAGGATTTAAAGATCGAACTGCAAAGACTCTGGCACAAGCCAGTAAAGGTGGTCCCAGTGGTGATCGGCACACTGGGTGCAGTGCCTAAAGACCTTGGCATGCACTTAAACACAATCGGTGCTGACAAAAATGCCGTCTGCCAACTGCAGAAGTCCACCTTACTGGGAACTGCATGCATCATTCGCAGATACATCACACAGTCCTAGACACTTGGGAAGTGTCTGACATGTGATCCAATTCAACAGCCAGCAGAGTGTCTGCTGTGAACTCGTCTTGTTGTGTTTCAAATAATAATAATAATAATAATAATAATAATAATAATAATAATAACAATAATAATAATAATAATAACAACAAAGACTGTGGCGCAAGCCAGTCAAGGTAGTCCCAGTGGTGATTGGCACACTGGGTGCACTGCCTAAAGACCTTGGCCTGCACATAAACACAATCAGCGCTGACAAAATTACCATCTGCCAGCTGCAGAAGGCCACCTTACAGGGATCTGCACGCATTATTTGCTGATACATCACACAGGCCTAGACATTTGGGAAGTGTCCGGCGTGTGATCCAATGCAACAACCAGCTGAGTTCAAGGGGTTCTGGGTTTGTGCAAATTCCTAGAGAGAGCGAAGGGAAAGTGCAAAATTCAGGAAGGCAGGGCTGGGAGGTTCACTGGTTCTCCAAAGCAGAAGCACCCTCAACTCCGTGCTTATGTTCACTGAGACGAACTCCCGCGGATGGCGGAGCAGCCCAGGCGCACAAAGGCGCACTTTTCCCTCCTCCAGGCACCTTCCTCCCCCGCCTTGAAAGCCCATCGCCGGCTCCAACCGCTTTTGCCTGCCTCTCTCTCAATCCCTCCTCCTCCTCCTCCTCCTGCTGACTCAGTCCAAGGGACAAACTCAAAGGGCAACCCATTGGCTCGGCAGGCACAGCTTCCCCGGCGCTCGGAGGATGTGGACCCGAAGGGAGGCTTCTTCTGCCGCCCTGGAGAGCCCTCCCTGAGCCCCAAAGGAAGGGAAGGGAAAGGAAGGGGCCAAGCCACTCCAGCAGGCTCGCCTTTCCGTCCCAGAAACAAAGACGCCCGAAGAAGTTGCCCCTCTGCTTTCCCTGCCAGGAGCAGAAGTCACCATGACAGCCATTGCTGTGCAGGTAACCCGGGGGCAAGGCAAGAGCGACGCGGAGCCCTAGGGAAAGGAGGCTGGGGTTGGAAGGAGGAAGCCCTGCTTTGCTCTCCTCCAGCCCAACTCGCAGCCCTGGTCCTTTGTTCTCGCCTCTCCTGTTTACCAGGCAGGCGCCCTCCTTCCTGGCAGAGGCGCTCCTCGCAGCCGCTTTCTCCGCCTTGCCTCTTGCCCACCTGTTGCTCTTTCTCTTTGGGGCTTCACACGGGGGCTGGGGAGAAAGGGAGAGCAGCCCACCCCCCGGGGAAACGAGAGGGCCCCTCTCTTCCTTTGGGCACAGAGGACACTCTCCTGGGTTGTTGTTGTTTACAGCCTTCGAGCCACTCCTTGAACCAGAGACCTCCAAGAGGACACAGGAGAATGGATGCAGCTCGACACCACTTCCACAGCCAGGGATTTCAGGCTATGGCATCCCCGGGATTGTGCTTTTCAACCTTCTCTGCTTTCTCTGGCACCTTAGGGAAGGAGAAATATCAGGGTCCCATTGCAGTGAGCCCTGGTGTCAAACTGCATTAGTTCAACTGAGAAGAGCAGTAGTTCTCAGCCTTCCTAATACAGTTCCTCATGTTGTGCTGACCCCCGACCATACAATTATTTTCATTGCTGTAATTATTTTCATAACTGTAATTTTGCTACTGTTATGAATCATAATGTAAACATCTGTTATGCAGGATGTCTTTTCGTTCACTGGACCAAATTTGGTACAAATACCAGATACACCTAAATTTGAACACTGGTGGGGTTGGATGAGGGATTGATTTTGTCATTTGGGAGTTGTAGTTGCTACAAATAAAATCAAAGAGCATTCCAAACTCCATTGATAGAATGGAACCAAACTTGGCACACAGAAGTCCCATGACCAACAGAAAATACTGGAAGGGTTTGATGGGCATTGGCTTTGAATTTTGGAGTTCCAGTTCACCTACATCCAGAGAGCACAGTGGACTCATACAATGATGGATCTGGACCAAACTTGGCACGGATACTCAATATTCCCAAATGTGAACACTGATGGAGTTTGGGGAAAATACACCTTGACATTTAGGAGTTGTAGTTGCAGGGATTTATAGTTCACCTACAATCAAAGAGCACTCTGAACTCCACCAATGATGGAATGGAACCAAACTTGGCACACTGAACTCTCATGACCAGCACAAAATACTGGAAAGGTTTGGTGGGCATTGACCTTGAGTTTTGGAGTTGTAATTTACCTGCATCCAGAGAGCACAGTGGACTCAAACAATGATGGATCTGGATCAAACTTGGCACAAATACTCAATATGCTCAAATGTGAACACTGGTGGAGTTTGGGGGAAATAGACCTTGACATTTGGGAGTTGTAGTTGCTGGGATTTATAGTTCACCTACAATTAGAGAGCATTCTGAAGCCACCACTGATAGAATTGGGCCAAACTTCCCACACATAACCCCCATGACCAACAGACCTCTCTGACAGCCCATCATGACCTCTGGGTTGAGAAACACTGGTGTAGAGGCAACCTAAGTCATCGAGCTTTTAATATCAGTGTTTCTTGCAGTGGTTCCCAACCTTTGGGTATCCAGGTGTTTTGGACTTCAGCTCCATGAAATCCCAACCAAATCCCAACCAATCCCCTTACCAATTGTTAGAACCTGTGGGAGCTGAAGTCCAAAACACCTGGACACCTAATAATAATAATAATAATAATAATAATAATAATAATTGGAAAAGCTTACACGATATGAGGATTTAAAGCTAGAACTGCAAAGACTCTGGCACTAACCAGTAAAGGTGGTCCCAGTGGTGATCTGCACACTGGATGCAATTCCTAAAGACCTTGGCCAGCACTTAAAAACAAAATTACCATCTGTCAGCTGCAAAAGGCCACCCTACTGGGATCTGCACACATTATTCGCTGATACATCACACAGTCCTAGACACTTGGGAAGTGTCCGATGTGTGATCAAATACAAAAGCCAGCATAGTGATTTTGTTTGTTGTGTACTAATCTAGTTGTGTATCTAATCATCATCATCATCATCTTTATGTATACCCTGCCCGCTCTCCCCATAGGAACTCAGGGTGGCTTACAACAATCAACAGACACAGAAAATAATATAGGCAATAGACAAAAGATCACAATAACCAATTATCACAACATAAAATTAAAATAATATACTAATAAAAACATTAATAAGTAACAGTTTTAAAGCTATTTGCCCTCTAAAAACAATATAAATATAGACACCGTTTAACCAGACCTCAGTGATGAGCAATGCAAAACTAGTTTTTTCCTCTTTGATCTGAAACACTGAATGCTATGTTACCCTCGTGTGAACAGCCCTGCTCAAGTTTTGCAGCCTTAGGGTTATGACTTTCTTTGTTGAATCTATCCATTTATAATAGGGGTTTCCTCTTTTCCTAATTTCTTCCATCTTGTCAAGCATTATAATCTTTTCTAGGGAGTCATGTTCTGATGTGGCCAAAGTGTGACAGTCTCAGTTGAGTCTTCTTCACTTCTAGGAAGAGTTCCAGCTTGATTTGCTCTAGGACCCATTTATACTCAGCCCTATACATTTGCTGGGATTGGGGACACAGGTCTCCCATGATGATGAATAAGTGTAAATAAAGAAATTGCTATTGCTTTTTTTTTTTACCTGAGAGAACACCTCTAGGAATTTTTAGGTCTTCCAGCATAACTCTATCGTTGACGTCGGCTGAAAGCTGACTATAGAATCACACTGGAGGGCTGAGAGATTCCTAGAGAGAACATTTTAAATCAAAACTGTGAACAATTAAAAGACAAAAACACAAATGTGGAGGGACAATTCTGTATCCACAGAAATCTTCTGCAGCACCACACTTCATATGGGCTCATTCTATCCCTATCAGTTTTCTTCCTTGTCCAGGTTTAACAACCATGCATAGAAATTGGGATTGGGATGACAGTGGCCAACCTAAATGTAGTTTTCAGTGATATATTCAGTATCTTGTCTAGTTTGTTTATTTATTTATGACATTTATATGCCGCCCTTCTCACCCCAAAGAGGACTCAGACCAGCTTAAAAGATATATACACATACAATATATTATATTATTAACATAGTACAATATCAGTATTATATATTACTATATAATTATAATATTATATTATTAGTAGTATTATGTTGTATTACATTATATTGTAAATATTATATGTATATACAATATATTACATTACATTACATTATTAGCATAGTTCCTTTATAGCATGTGAATATTGTACATATGCTTGCACAATATTATTGTAGTAACTCAAATGATAATGTCCATATGTCATGTAAATATATATCCTTTTCCCCTTCCCTCTTGAAAAATGTATGTTTGAATGTTGGATTAGCTTGCCTTTCTACTTTTGCATCTACAATAATCTAGCTATTATTGATAAAATGAGATATGGTTTGGGCAAGTTGCTTCAGGGTCAGAATAATAGAATTGAACTTATGATGTGTCTAAAACTATTCTGCTCCTGATATTGATTGACTGACAGATTGGATCTGCTTCCAGCTCCCAAGTGGGACTCAATGCAGTTTATAGTATAAGTGAAACAGTATGCTAAAACAGTATGGAGCAAGATACTGGGTAGATGTTGACACACATGTGTGTTTTTTCTCAAATTGTTCCATTTCCTTTCCTCCCTCTTGGAGTGCAAAGGCTTGTTTACAAAGATCAGCAACTCTATCCCTTCACTGGTATGTTATTGCTGATGTTTCAGCAAAAACTGTTTCCCGCTTGGCAGTTCCTGTGAGGCTTTGTACAAGGGCTATTTGAAAATAAGACACCCTGCAGGGGTTGCAATTAAGAAAAGCAGAAACATGGGGCCAAACAAGGACAACATGCTTATTGTGCATGCCCTTAGGTTGTAAATAAGCTCCCAAAGAATGGGAGAAGCTTCCCATCGTTTGAGGCACTTGCAATAAAAGTATATACCTATCTATAGATGTAGCTATAGCTATACACATAGAGACACACAAAAAACTACACACACACACCAGAAATAATAATTTTCAATTATAAAGCACTTTAGGGTCTCCAAAGTACTTCACATATCCTTTAAATGGGGCTGGGGCTGCAGGGGATAATGCACATCTGGATTTGTTAGCTACTTTAAGTAGTTCACAATAGGTCACCGAGGACTTCTGCCTCCAAGTAGCTGAATGGTACAGTTTTTTCAAATCACTTCTGTAGCTGACTTCATACTTCTGTTTTCTTTTGACACATTTGGTGTTGTGCACAAGTCCATTAGGAACGGGAATGCAGTAGATAATTGGCTCTACCCCACTATTTTGCACTTGTCTCAGATTTATCTGAATAATTGAGCTCTAACTCACAATTTTGCTCTTGTCATAGATTTGCACTAACCTCTGACATCTAGCAAAAAAGAGTAAGAAATCCTACAAGGTGGAAATTTGCTCTCTCCTGTTTAAAACAAGCCCTCTGAAGTGTCCCAATATTTGTTATACCTACAGAGAATTCTCTATCACTTTTGAGGTTCAGTGTGTTTGACAACATTGCCTTTTATGACACTGTAAAAACATCAGTCTCTCTGATCTTCCTGTAATCCTTTTCAGGGATTCAGGTTAAGGCTAAACCAGGCATGGGCAAACTTCAGTCCTCCAGGTGTTTTGGACTTCAAAACACTGTTAGGAATTGTGAGAATTGAAGTCCAAAACACCTGGAGGGCCGAAGTTTGCCCATGCCTGAGCTAAACTGAATGGATGAGGAAAGGAAATTGCTAACCAGCCCCTCTTTCACTATCACTTTCCATGTGAGGACAGTGAGAGTCAGCTCTTCAGTGACAGTCAGCATATCACCCTTCTCATATGTTCAGTTTAACCCTGCTATGAACATCTGAGTAAGACTAATGTATCAGTTTCACATCTCCATCTCTGTCCACTAGTCTGCAGTCAACACTCTAAATGTGATGGCACTCATCATCATCATTATCATCATCATCATCATCTACTATTATATTACAGAGAGGAAAAGAAATTGCAGTGATGGGGTAAAGGTTGAAAAATAGTAAATGAATGCTAGTTTATACAATTTAGGCATAACTATCTCTGACTATTAACAACCCTATAAGCTATCCACTAGCTTGCTATGATTTTTTAAAATACTTGTTGCTTTGAAATACAAAAGCTGAGATATAACCTTTTCTCTTTTCTTTTTTTGGGAATTTCTCTTTAAGGCCCAGTGGCTGCGTGCTCATGGAAGGCCTAAGAAGTTGTTTTTTGAGACTTTTATCCGGAGCCTCATTATCCTCTGCGTTGCAATATCCGTTGTCCTGTCTTCCATCGCAGTGTGTGATGGCCACTGGCTGTTTGCCAAAGGAAAGCTCTTTGGATTGTGGCACTTCTGTACCATCAGCAACAACAGTGCCCTCAAATGTGACACCAACCTGACTTTGGCCAACGTCAGAGGGTTGAACATAGGAATGACTCTTGCAAGAAGTATGGTGTCTTTTGCTGTCGTGGTGGCCATCTTTGGCTTGGAACTTCTCATGGTCTCGCAAGTGTGTGAAGACATCAACTCAAGAAGAAAATGGTCAATGGGATCGGTCCTCATTCTTGCCTCTTTTCTGCTCTCATCAGCTGGGGTGCTGAGCTTCTTAATCCTTCTGAGGGACTACATCTCCTTCACAGGCTTTACACTGACCTTCTGGTGTGAGTTTATTGCTGCCTTCCTTTTCTTTCTTAATGGAATCAGCGGACTTCATCTTAATCACCTAACCTTTCCATGGAGCAGATTGAGAAAAATTAACAATGATGACCAACAGTTCTGCTAAATAAACTGGGAGCATATTGTAGTCTATCAGCATTTGAGAAAAGCACACACCATGTTTTCTGAATATATAATAAGAGGAAAATGATTTGCCCATAGGACCAGTAGAGGACAACCATTGAAAGTTGGATGTTACAGCCTCCTATATTTTTTTTTAAAAAAATAATTCTTTGATGTGAATGGTTCATATGTTTTTAGAGACCCCAATGCAGCCAAGTCTCATGGAAATCAAGGGATCCAGTTAACACATTTAAGAAATTTAACAAATTCCAGTACTTTCCAGTGGGTTTAGTCATAACTAGTTTTGCCTGAACTACTGAGCTGGCCAAATTCAGTATTCAAGTGGGATGGGAGACACACATTGTAAATTTGCTTCTCTCTCTCTCTCTTAAATCTCTACAACCTAAATTTTGATCTATCAAGTTAACATTGATTCAGTGAATCTATTCTAATAGGGCCTAGAAATTGAGTTTAGATACATTACTTTATTTTTGTACTGCAACAGTAAAAACAAACATTTACACTCCACTGAATGTTGGACAATGCCAATTCGAGCTTACATTCCAAAATAAATAATTTCAGTTTAATTTAAGGATCACATTCCAAATAAATAATTTCAGGTTAAGGATCAAAGCCCATGGTAGGACTTTGATCCTTATTCTTTCTTCATAAAAATCTATGTGATATGTATATAAAATGCAAGCATTTTTATCAGACTGTGTGCTATGGAGAATATTTCTTTTGAACTGTGCCTATAAATTTATTTTCTATCGAGGTGGAAATCATCTCTCCCTCCATTAGTTGTGATGGCTAGGACTGTTCAGAATTGCCATTCAACAACATCTGAAAGGCTTCATATGGTAATTTTCACATTTTATATGGTGACTTTAGTTCCAAGTAACAAGGAAGTCATACATATCTCTTCCTGAACCCCTCACCATCATCTACTACTTTTAACAATTTTAACACAAACCTTTGGCCCTCTATATCCCATAGATTTTAATTAGTGTAGCCAATGATAAAAGATGTTGGGGGTTGTCCATGAAAATATTTGGAGGGCCAAGGTTTTCTATCCCAACTTAGATCTTTCTTCCCTTGATATTTATTTCTAGCTCTTTCCAATCTCTGCCCAGATCTTTCTTCCACTTGAAAGCTTTTCTGTTTTTCTAGTAAAAGTACACTGTGATAGTGGTGGTGAGTGAAGCAAAAAGCATGACTTCCATTGAAAATGCACATGGATTGAGCTGGCTTGGACCATGATAAAGCCACTTGATTTTTAACTGCAGCGAAAACATATTGGGACAGTGGCTTTACTCTTAACAAGAAACTGAATGTTTGCATTCTGAAATAATACCAACACTACTTACTTATGTAATCACTATTTGATTCTGTATATGAAATGTGAAAGGGAACTTCTTTGTACTTCCACCTTTGTTTTCATGACATTCAAACCTCCTTGGTTTTGGGAAGCAGCTCTTAAAATCAAAATGCTCCATGCAGAAATCCTGATTTCATTAATCTCCTACACCAGTGGTTCTCAACCTGTGGGTCCCCAGATGTTTTGGCCTTCAACTCCCAGAAATTCTAACAGTTGGTAAACTGCCTGGGATTTCTGGGAGTTGTGTGCCAAAGCACCTGGGGATCCACAGGTTGATAACCACTGCCCTCCATATTTTCACCTCTCTGCTATGTGGCTTCGTATTGTGTCAGATTAACAAAACATAAATAATAAACCAACCAGTTCTGTTATAAGCAAACATTTACCAGGAAGAGATTATGGTGATGACAATGATGGTTTCAAAAAATTGATTCTTGATCATCTGATTCTGTGACAAGATGGTATGTCCAAACAACTGAAATGAGGACCAAGAAAGCAACAAAAGGTGTGTTTGCATTGTAGAATTAATGCAGTTCGACACCCACTTTAACTGCCATGACTCTATAGGAGCTGAAGTTTGATAAGGCACCAACAGTCTTTGGCAGAGAAGCTAAAGACCCTGTCAAACTGCAACTCCCTGATTCCTTTGCATTGAGTCAAGGCAGTGAAATCTGTGCCAAGCTGCGTTAATTCATCACTGTGGGTGCACCCTAAATCCCTTAACAGCTGAGATGCAAACTATCTACACAGACTGAATTTTTCAAAAGGGAGCTTCCCTTTTGGATAATAATGGTGGTGGAAGGAACTTGAGACTTCAAAGTGGCATTGCTTTGTTTGTGCAGTCCTGAGAGGACAGGATGTAGATTGTAGATTAATGTGCTAAAATATATATTTCTGTCTTATCAAAAACACAGGAAGTTAATTCCCTGTTTTCTGTCTCAGAAGGCATTCCTTAAAGCTAGAAATATTCATTGTTGTTGCTGCTTTTTAAAAAAGAAATTAACACTAGAACTAGAGTACTGTTGGACAGTTATGAATGTGTAACCTGCTTGTTACTATTTTCTGTCCACAATCCCTGAATAGTAGCCTCTAGTTTAGGGTATACATAGGGGCTGTAAAAGTCCACCAATCCTCATTTACTGGGCAGCAGCTGCCGCAATCAACAAGTGCCTGTTCTCATGTCAACTGAGAAACAATTGCCTGATGACCCACATCCCAACAGAAGTGAAGTCAGGGGTATGGAGGAACTGCAAGTGGCATCCCACTTCTGCCTGCCCCAAAAGAGCTCGCTCACTGGAAGGGATGTTGCTGCCAATAAATCTGTGTCCCAATTGACCTCTGCTACTGAGTGATAGTCACTGTGTAGCAGCATAACTACTGTACTTAGTACATTTGTAACTCCTCAACAGGATTCTGGTCAGGACTGAGCTAGTTTATGCATTTCCTGCAGGATTTGTTTTAATTCATTCAGCGGCACATGTAGGAAATACTGGGTGAGCTTCTCAGATCGAGAATTCCTAATTCATCCAAAATTGTCTACAAGGGTGGCTGAGATAGTGACACCTTTGCTTTCTGATGATTCAATATACAAAATTTTTTGTTTCGTGCCCAAAATTGTTTAAAATGTTGTACAAAATTGCCTTCAGGCTATGTGCATAAGGTGTATACAAAATATCAGTGATTTTGTGTTTTAGATTTGAGTCTCATCTCCAAGATGTTTATGTACATAGATGCAAATACAAGCATTCCAAAATCCAAAAAAACTCCCGAAATCCAAAACACTTCTGGTCCACAGCATTTTAAATAAGGGATATTCAACTTGTACTGTATATTCTGTATCAAATATAATCAATTTCTTGGTAAAGCAACAATCTTTGCAAGATGAAAGAGAGGCAGCGTTGGCTGTTTTGGACTCATTTAAGGGTTCACTCAAAGAAATCAGTTCATTAGATGAAGGGCAGAACCTAGATGTAACTTATGAATGAATACTAACAACACTCTAAAGCAGTAATTCGCAGACTTTGATCCCCAAGTGTTTTAGATTTCAGCCCCCAGAACTGATGACTGACTTGGCCTTCTAAGAGCTGAAGCCCAAAATACCCAGACGACCAAAGTTGAGAACCAGTGCCCTAAATTACCACGATTTCCCACACAGAGCCACTTGTGGATATTCTAGAATAGGGATGGGCAAAATATAACCCAAGGATTGCCTATGGCACACCCCAGTCTGTAATATATCATCTGGATCCCCTCAACCCAAACACAAACAAAACAATTCTAAGCAAAAATGGTTTATCATGCTAGCCTCTAGCACAGTGATTCTCAACCTGGGGTCCCCAGTTTTTTTGGTCTTCAACTCCCAGAAACCCTAACAGCTGGTAAACTGGCTGGGATTTCTGGGAGTTGTAGGCCAAAAACATCTGGGGACCCCAGGTTGAGAACCACTGCAGCATTTGGTCATTTAAAGGCCTTTTTGCCCCCGCATACTTGTTTTAATTTATGAATAGCTTTTATTAAATCAGAAGTGACTGGAAGAGGTCTCTAGTAGTGATTAAGTCCCATCACCCCCAGTTCTTAGGTGACTTACAGTATGCATAAGTGTGTGTTTACTTATATTCATACATATACATACCTACATACACAGATACAACTCTTTCTCGTTAGTTTCGTGAGATCCTGATGACTTCCTTCAAACATATGTAAGGTTTCCCCCCATTTTCCTAGCATGAACTAATCTTGGTTTTGGCTAGAGTTTTAGCATCAGTTCAAAAGGCTGAACACCCCTCTCCCATGAGCTAAATGAATACTTGTCGTTCAGGCACGTCCAAAAGGAGGACACTGTGGTAAAAATTCCCATATGCATACATTAGATGTGGGCTAGTTATCACTCTATTTCCATTGAACAGAGGGGTTTCAAATTTATCCCACAGAGGTTCAAATGCATTAGAGATGCATTTTGAGCTGTCAAGTTGAAACAGCCCTAAATGGCATTCTGTAGCAGACTCCTTTGTGAGTGTATGATTCAGTTTCCATTAAAAGCCATTTTGTCAAAAAAATTCTTGACAGATGAGAGCACAGGCCCAGAACTGCATATGGCCTTTGCCTCCAATAAATGTTGTTTTTATTATGTGTTTTATTATGTAGCCTTTTCTAAACTGTAACTATTTTCTACAAAAGTAAATGAAAGTGAGATAAAACTGAAGACTTGAATGTCAAATGTTCAATAAACTACTTTTTGAATTGATCAACCCAGTCATCAGGAACCTTTTTGTTTAAACATAAGGAGAGACACTTAGTAATTAAATAGGAACATGGAAGTACCACATTTGTTTTGGTCCAAATTGAAACAAAAAAAAAAGAGCTGGGGAATGGATTTTAGCAAAACCAGATGACTCTACTACAAAATAATTGGTGCAAAGCTGAAAATGCCTGATTGAGTTTCCTATTGTATGTCAGTACTGAGTTTTCTACTGTATGCCAAATGTGAGTAAGTAACACACTTTGAATATTTGGAGCAGGGATTTGTTAGATCACATTTGGTGAAGCAAAAGAACAAAATATGTCCATGGAAAGACAGAATAACTAGAAGTTGTCTGCAGAGCTCAGATACTTCTGTATGATGACTGAATGCTTCATACAAAGTTTCTCTTTCAATTACTGAGCATTTAACAAATGTTACTAAGGTTTTTCTCATCATGCCTCCAAAACTAAGATGACCAGGTAATTGAGTATTTAAATACATTGTTGTGGAGATCCTACCATATTCTATGACATCCAATACATGACACAACTGGAGCCTTGCATATTCCAAGAGCAGTGTGAGCCTCCAGTGTACATAGTGCCGAGCAAAGCAAACCCTGTTTTAATGGAAAGACTGGCATTGATCCAGAAATACGCATGCCAATTAGCTATATGCCAAGAATATGGTGGGGATGAATGTCCCCATCCCATGCCAGGAATGAATAGCCACAGGGAGTTCCCAGGAGTATTTGGTCAGCTACTGATGGAGACAAGACAGTCTGCAACTACACAGACAACTCTCGTATTCTTAACACACATCCAAACTAATTTAAAAATCAGAAAGGTCCCAATTTTGGTCCTGTCCTTCCAGATTTTATTCTGGAGACTTGCATATATTTTCTTTCAGCTGCCAATACGATCAGATATTCCTTTTATACCCGTTTCACAGATTGGTTTATTTTAGCCCATTATAACATGCGATACAGCTTTTGAACCGTGGTGTTAAAGGAAAATTCTAAGTGCCTTGGACCACAAGAACATCCAACCAGTCAATACTCCAGGAAATAATGCCCAACTGCTCACTGGAGGGAAGAATATCAGAGGCAAAGATGAAGTGCTTTGGCCACATAATGAGAAAACAGGAAAGCTTGGAGAAGACAGTGGTGCTGGGGAAAATGGAAAGGAAAAGGAAGAAGGGCCGACCAAGGGCAAGATGAATGGATGGTATCCTTGAAGTGACTGGCTTGACTTTGAAGGAGATGGGGGTGGCGACGCCCAATAAGGAGCTCTGGCGTGGACTAGTTCATGAGGACACAAAGAGTTGGAAGCAACTGAACAAATAAACAGCAATAAACATAAAAAAGAATAGGAACAAAATTTGAAACTTTTCAATCTGTCTGGAAGCACCCATATTCAGTCCGCTTAGCTCAAGGTAGCAGTATTCTGTATCAGTTTAGGTTAGACTGAAAGGCTGATCTCTGAAAAGATGCCTTCTGAAAAGACTGCATAGCAAAAACCTGCAATAAATTGAAATAATCTCTTGTTTAAAAGAAGCTAAAACAATCTGAGCTTTTCACCTAAATATTTAATGAGCTGCTGCTCATTAAATATGTTTGCTTGTCATTTTTATTGTACTAATTGCTATGCATCATTATATTGTTATTCTCTCCCCCCCCATTTTAATTATTTCCATAGAGTTTATACACTACACTGAAGAAGCAACTGATCACACACACATATTGCAGCAAATCTGAAATTCCCATAATTCTAACCCCTGACACAGTGCTCCTAGCATGTATATTTATCATTTCAGTTATTAAACTAAGTTGACACTCTCGTTGGCAATTCCCCATTTTATTCTTTTTTACATTTGAAACATACCAATTCCTTTGGGTTTTTTAAAAGTATGGGGCTGAGCAGAAATCTTATCAGAATTAAGCAAGCTAATTCTGCAAAGGAATTCAGCCCAAGAAAGTAAAGCATATTGTATACTGCAAGCACCCGTGTCTGTTTTGCTCCATACCCAAAATGAGCTGGATAATCTGTCATATCTTACAGGGATGTATAAAACTGTTTTCAGCAGCCTAACATTTGGCTTGGGCTTTGTGTAGCATGCTGTCGGGAAAAGCCAGTTCTCCAGAATAATTGTCTCAGACAAGTTTCAAATGCCGTACAGAGGAGATGCAGAGCTATCCACCCACCACCCCCTTCCTCACAAATAGACCATTTGTTCAGCACCGCAGGCTTCACAGAATCGTCTTGTGAGTGACTGGCCTACAACCAATGTGTGCATATTTATTTACACATCATTAACAAAATACAAAGGGAGAAAGGGAGGCTGGTGGAAACTTGGCTGATAATCTGGGCCACTTGTACACGGTCTGATGTTAGACGAGTTGCCGTAGTTCTGCAAACGTGGAGAATCATGATGTTCCATCAATGGCAATCTTAGCTTGCGCTCTTTTGGCACCTTTCTGTCTCTTCTCCATATGGAGCATTTTATTTTCCAGAAGAAAAACATTCCTGGCACCTGGGGAGGCAACTACCCCCATCTGCCTGCCAACCTTCACCTCAGGATTTGTTTACTGAGCTCTTATTTGGAGATAAGTATCTCTTTTTCTAAACTTTGAATTTGAGTACACATAACTGAACCAACAAAGATGCATTGAATTACAGTTAGTAATTCCCACAAAGATGTACTGAGTTACTGCCTGTAATTTAGTAATTCAATGCAATACAACTGACATCCTATTTCAATTGTTACCTGCCCTGTTGATTGCAAATCCACCAAGACTTTGTGATAACCAAAAGAAATTCAGTGTGGTCTAAGATATGGTGAGCCTGGGGAAAGCCCTCTGGCTCATACAGGAAACAATCACCTACATGTGTGTTTGTATATGCATAGGGGCACGATGGGCAGAAGAGATAACTAAGGACATGCTCTGTTTCATTTATTTATTTACAGTTAAGGTCAAAGGGCCAAGCGATTCAAGAGGCTGGAGTGTGTCATCCAGGAGAATGCAAACAAATACAAAAGCATCCGGTCAAGATCCAATTAGTGTGAATACAATCCTCATGCCATCCAGATTGGTAGCATAACTTGAATCGCAAGGTCAGGAACATGAACTAACACTTAAGAGAAAGACAATTATCTTTCTGTCATGAGTTCTAAGTTCCTAGGATCTGCTGTGACACATAGCAAGGGAATGGATCCAAGAAAGTTAGAATAACTGCTAGATGCTTAAATGAATCTGTTAATTTTAGATGCCATGAGACACCTTTCTTCTTTTTAAAGCAATAAGAAAGAAGCTCAAACTAGCATGCATGCATATATGTGTGTGTGTTTGTCTGTATAATCTACAGATCCATTAAAAAACCGTTCAGTGTATACTTGCTTGCCAGCTAATATACAGAACTACACCCATCTCACCGTTCTGGTGCTTCTGTGGGTAAAGACAAGGCCCAGAAGCCTCAAACACAGCTCAGCAGCTCCTCTAGAGAAACAAAGAAAATGTCAAATGGCCCTCCTTGGTCTTCCTTCCCTTGAGATTGTGGCATATGTCACAAAAACACAATGCAGAGATGAGCCAGACTGGAGTTTTTGCTTGAGACATTTTGCACAGCCAGCTACCAAAACAAGGTGGGATATTATGTCAGAAGGGCACATCCACTCTATAAATTGTCTACCTATCTCTCCCTTGCACTGCAGAAATCTACATGTGTGTTCATAGGGGCACCAAACTTGCTGTGTTATATCAAGAAACAATATTTTGGATCTGATCCATCAACTTTTTCAGATACTATCAAAACATACTCTTTGGATTTTGGTATATTTTGCTCTGGGATACACATGTATGAACTGGTTTTGACCAAACATTAGACATATTGACTTCAATTGATACCCCAATCATTATTGTGTCCGTTTAAAACATCTTAGTAAAATTTGGCCTTTCTCAACCTCTCTCTTGTTGGAAAATTACTGGTTTGAATCTTATTTGCAAGGAACTGGGTGGGAGACAAATATTAGCAATTGTTAATTTCACTGACGTCATAAGCAAAACCAGCATGGACAAAGTTGTGTAAATTTCTTCTTATCTGATACTTGGAAGGTATCTTTTAGGAGGGAAATTAGCTTACTCTACATGCAACTCCCTACTATGTGTTTGTACACAAGATAATGTCAGAACTGCCTCAGCTGAAGCAATGGGCTTAGCCATGTTTATTTACTTATTTGCGTAATAACATACAGACGTACTGCAATAAGCATAAAGCAAAACATACATTAATACTATGCATCAGCTTGAAATAGGTTTTGCAACATACCCAAAATAGCTCGCATTTTGGTGAGACTACCAAGGAAGAACATTTTATAGTAATTGGATAACTCTCACAAACACTTTCCCTCAACTTATTCTTCTAATTTGGCCCAGAGACTGTATTGTCTGAGCTGAACAAGAGACATAGGGAGGACAATGTAAAGAAAAAATGATGAGTTGGATTCTGACTTATGTCAGACCAGGCAGCATCAGTCTGAGATTATGGGAGACGTAGTCCAACAAAATTTGGAAAGCCACATTTTACCCATCCAAGGTTTTTTATGTCAAGAGCATCATCTTGAATACAGACCACAAAGCAGTAGGAAATCGGCGGGGAAGATGAAAATCAAATACTGCATTCTTCAGAAAACCCAACTCTCTTCTTGGGCAAGACTGAATAAGCATCAAGGCAGGCCTTCCCAGACTATGTTACAGTAACTTAGCCTTCCTATCATACAGCAATAAACACCAGTTGCAATGTCCAAAATAATCACAATCTTTTCAATAAGGTAAACTGGTTGAAAATTTGCCTGGAAACACTGCTAGCTGATTTTCTAAGATCCCAAGGTTCTAGTGCTGATCACCGTGTGTAGTTGGCCCTTGTAGTTGATTACAGGTACAGTGCTGTTGTTCTAGAGAGATATTTGTTGTTCTTGTTGTCACTGTTCAACAGGAAGCTCATAATGTCTGCAGACAACACAACACCTCCCCAAGGATCATTTGCTGCTCGAGAGTCATGTCTGGCCCCAAAACACTGATATTCAGCATGATATTCAACAGCCCCAAACCATTTAAAACCCTTTTAATCCAGCACTTAAGACTATCTGCAAGGAAGGAAATTAAATTTTAAAGTGGTGGACTCACAAAGAACAAGAAAAAAAAAAACAAGACAATAGGAAGAAGATACTTTTCCATCATTTAGGAAATCTTCATGCTCCTTGCTAAAAGCCTTTGCTGTTAACAAAATTCAAGATGTCTCCCAAGCTAGACTCTAAGCAGAATTAATTTAAGAATTGCATGTAACTTCCAGGTGCACAAGCACCACATCCACAGAAGTAAGGCTGGGCTTTCCAGTAACTTCTGAGTGAGCAGTTACAGTTGACCCTCCACATCCATGGCTTCTGCATCCAAGATTCAAGCAGCCAAGGTTCAAAAATATTCAGAAAAAATGTTCCAAAAAGCAAATCTTAATTTTACTACATGTCTAACATTGTCTGTGATATGTAGACATACTTTGCTGTAGCCTCCTGTCCTTTCAGATTCTCAGGTTCTCTCCAGCACTCTTTTCATTTATTCACTCCTTTATTACACCATTGTATACAATGGGACTTAAACAGCCATGGGTTTTGGTATTGGGGAGGGGGAGCGGATCTGGAACCTTGAAGAATGCTAATGACTTTAGTCTTCTCTGTGCTTGCTGGAGACTTACTGCAAGTTACTATTGGGGACAGAGAGCCTCCTTTCCTCTTGAGGGCTGGGCTTCAGCAGTTGCAGCACCTGAGTGAATCCACTGACTTCATTATGAAACGAACAGCTGTGGTGCTTCTGTGAAATGACACGTTTCTTTAAGTGCCACTGCTGCCACTTTCTGTTAATCTCCTGCTGGACCTAAACCAAAATGTCCATAAGGCTTATGTCAGAATTTCCATAAGGCTCACAGCTTTTCAAAGAGAAATTCTGATTACTCTCAGAAGCAGCAGTCTCTCAACTCAGCAACAAAGAATTATGGTAGGGCCCTCTTTAAGATGACCAGATCTCTTACACTATGTAACATGATTTCTGTTCCTGGGTTACAAATGTCATTTTCAATTTGGTCCATCATATAAACATGGAAAAGATTATTAAACTGTGGAATATCCTGCAGCACATTGTACTATAGCCTTTCAATGAATACAGAGTTTCAGTCAATTAAATACAGTTTGTGACAGCCACAAAAACGAAGTTTCTGGAGTATAACAACTACTTTCAAAGTAAGTACTGTACAATTACAGAGAAATAACACTTTCAAACCAGAAAGAGAAAATGTTTCAAATTTTGTTGCACAGTGTTATTGTATGAACTGTGACCTGTTAGTTTTACAGGTGCCAAAGGACACTAGGTTGTTCACTGGGATTACTCCATTGGAAATCCCTGTGGCTCAGCGTTTGGCTTTATATGATAAAAGATAGAGCCACAATTTACTTTATAATCGAGAGCCGTGGTGGCGCAATGGGTTAAGCCCTAGTGCCAGCTGAACTGCTGACCTGAAGACCTAAAGGTTGGCGGTTCGAATCCACGAGACGGGGTGAGCTCCCATCTGTCAACCCAGCTTCCCATGCGGAAACATGGGAGAAGCAAACCACAGGATGGCAATACATCTGGGCATCCCCTGGCCAATGTCCTTGCAGATGGCCAATTCTCTCACACCAGAAGCGACTTGCAGTATATTCTCAAATCGCTTCTGGCATGATAAAAAAACTTTATAATCCCTTCCCAATCTATGTATGAGCAACTGATCTGTACGATGTGATATTGCCACTTGTTCCAGTGCTGTGGTCTAATGTAAGCGGTTCTGATTATTCATTTCCTTTCATTTTACCTGACTCTTTGCGTGTGTATTCAGACTGATAGAACAGTCCCAGATTTTGTTCGTGCTTGTTCTTTCCATCTGTACTTTGATTGTGCTTTTCCTGCATGGCAGGGTGTTGGAACTGACGGTCCACGTGGTCTCTTCCAGCTCTGCAATTCTATGATTCTATGTTTTTTGCAGGATTAAAAGAAACCAACTAGGAGAGATGGTACAAAAGCTCTCTGATTATACCAGGACAGAACAGGAACAAAATCTGAGACTTTCTGGTTTGGATCAGTCTGGAGGTGACCCAAGTAGAGGAACAGTGCAGAAGGTAGAAAACAAAATCAATAATCTAGAAATGGGCAGGTGAGAGGTGTGTAGCCTTGGAAGAGCCTAAAAATGTGAATGGAAGAGTCTGGACATTTGAATTTGGCCTGCTCTCTGAAAACAGTTCCCCAAATGTTGTCATCTTTTTACTGCTTTTACTTTGTATCTTTTACCTGACACAAGGTAATTCAGCTATTGATATTTAAAACACCACTTTATCTTCAAAGCTTTACTATATGTGTTCTCTAATTATGAGGGAAATTTGTAAAGAGGAGAAAATCTAGCATGAGTAGATGAGAACTGATCCTATCACAGGAAATGGTAAAATGGGAAGATTAATCTTATACAGAGCAGAGAAAAGTTATTATTGCAGACTGGATTGCAGTCTGCAAAATCCCTTCATGCTGGCTACGAGATTCTGGGGAATACAGCCTACAAAAATAAATTTTCTGAGCTCTGGTTTTATGTTTTAAGCAAAGTCAGCATGTAGGAAACTCACCTCACCATTAAGGAAACAGTAAAGCACAGCCACAGCAAAGCCCTGAAACAAAGGAGGCTCATGTCAGTCCTGCAGTATACAATTGCAAATAGCAGGCTGGCATTCTAGAACAAGAAATGTCAAGAAATAGAAATACAAAAACTTTTGTGGCATGCAGTGTGCTGACAGCTATGGAAACAAGATCATGGATAAGTCTTGACTCCAAAGACTAAAGCTGCAATATCATATGCATTTGGAGGTGGGAGAGTAAATCCCATTGAGCTCAATGGACTTGCTTCTGAAGAGACAAATAGAGGATTGTATCATGCTGAACAAACCAGCTGTCTTTAAAAGTGAAGTGTTTTCCAACTCAGGGCCCTTCCAGACAGGCCCTGTATCCCAGGATCTGATACTAGGTTTTCTGTTTGTCCCAGATTATCTGGCAGTGTGGACTCATATAATAATCCAGTTTAAAGCAGAAAACCTGGGATCAGATTCTGGGATATAGGGCCTGTTTGCGAGGGCCCTCAGATTCTTCTTGCAACAGAATCACTGTCAGAGTAACATAAAAATGGGTAAATAAATTTTGGTTTCACCAGGTGTTCTGAAAAGAAACCTCTGGGCTGTCAATCTACTCTGTGGATAGATGCCAAGGTTTATATTACATCACTAGCCATCCCCTGCCACACGTTTCTGTGGCCCAGTCTGTCTATATGTGTTTTATGTGTGTGTATATGTGTATATATGTGTGTTTATGTATATATGTGGTTTTGTGCATGCGTTGTGATGTGTTTTTTGTCTTTGGCTTTTAAAGTCTCTTCTGCTGTGTTTTTCAGTGTTTTTATGAGTGATGGTCACTCGTTGGCCTGATAGGTGTCTTGTGTCCAAATTTGGTGTAAATTAATACAGTGGTTTTTTAGTTATGTTAATCCCACAAATGAACATTACATTTTTATTTATATAGACTAGCCGTCCCCTGCCACGCGTTGCTGTGGCCCACAAGGGGGTTCTGTGTGGGAGGTTTGGCCCAATTCTATCGTTGGTGTGGTTCAGAATGCTCTGTGATTGTAGGTGAACTATAAATCCCAGCAACTACAACTCCCAAATGTCAAGATTCCATTTTCCCCAAACTCCACCAGTGTTCACATCTGGGCATATTGAGTATTCATGTAAAGTTTGGTCCAGATCCATCATTGTTTGAGTCCACATAGATCTCTGGATGTAGGTGAACTCCAACTCCAACACCAAACCCTTCCAGTATTTTCTGTTGGTCATGGGAGAACTGTGTGCCAAGTTTGGTTCAATTCCATCGTTGGTGGGGTTCAGAGTGCTCTTTGATTGTAGGTGAACTATAAATCCCAGCAACTACAACTCCCAAATGACAACATTAATTTTTTGAGTGAAGGACATACATTGGGTTGTCAGGTGCCTTGTGTCCAAATTTGGTGTCAAATCGTCCAGTGGTTTTTGAGTTTTGTTAATCCCACAAACAAACATTACATTTTCATTTATATAGATGATGCCCAATATGGGCAAATAATTTAAAAAGTGATAACAATGGTTTCTTCCTGGGATCCAAGTAGTATTTTTATTCCTCATACATTGTATATGACCATAATCTAGTGATTTAAGAATACATCTGGTTGGGTTCCTTATGCTTGTTCTAAACAACTGGGCTCAATAAAGATTAAGGAGTTGCAACCCTGTGTGTTTCATGTTAGAGATAAGGGCAGAAACTACCCTAGAAAAAGAAGCAGAAAACCAGAGATGATCAGAGTACAACCCTGGGGCTCTACAGAAATCTCCTCCTGATACAAGGCTATCTTTGTATGCCTCCCCCTCCTGGTCCAAGACATCCATTTTCTGGCAAGAAGTGCCTCATTAGATGTTTTAATATTCAAAAACTTAAAAAAAAAAAAAAAAAACCCAGAAGCACAGGCTTGGTATTTTGAGGAAGCACGCAAGGGTGGCAATTTGCCATTTAAATAGCTCTACTGATTGTTTCATATTTTATTTCATTCAACTACCATTTTTTAAAATGCAAAAGTACACCTTTGGTCACGTCAAGCTGAGGTTCCCACCAGTTTTTGGTAGTCTATGTAATAAATTAGCTGTTGGATCCAACAAAGCAACCTGAGCATGCTGCAGCCTTTTTAATAAATGGGTTACCTGAAAAGATCCTATGGCTTTTTCAAACAGAGCCTGGATCTCCATGGTGCCATTTGCAGTATCAAAAGGGAAAAAGGCAAAGATGATGTAATGGACTCCAAAGAGAGGGATGAGGACAAGTGTGGATTTAGCAAGTCTCCTAGAAGCAAAGACAGAAACAACTTGGTAGTGTACAAAAGAGGAGAGGGAGCATATTTAATATTAGCCTCAGACGTAGTTAGAATATATGTTGAGATGAGGCACCTTTTCCCCCATTCAGATTTTTTAAACTGCAACTCCCATGATCCCTTACATATGGCAGAACTGATTAGAGTTGTTTGTGCAGGAGGCATACATGTACGTATCTGGAAAAGGCCAGAACTCCTCTTCCTTCACATTCTTAGGCAGCACCATGAAGAATAGGGGCCTCTCTGGCTGACATTTCAGAAAGCTCTTCCCTTAACTGCTAATCCCAGAATTCAGAGTGTGTAACTAAAGTAGAAGCATAGCACTATCATTGTATAGTGTGAAAAGAGCCCAAACCAAGGACTGTACTTTCACAAGTTTTGAGATCAGCCGATGCAAAGTAACACCTTTCAAAATGTCTTTCAGTTCATTTTACTACGTATTTTTTTGCCTTCCTCTTCTTTCCTCTTATTCCACTGTAGATAACCTGGTACCCTCTGTATGTTGTGGATGATGTTTACCATAAACCACTTCCTGACTGGTAATAATTAAGGATTGTGGGAATTCTAGTTAAAAAAAAAACAAGACACCACATTGTGTATGTTGTGCTAAAATGATGTATATACAGCCCAAATTAAAAATACATAATACTTTTCCTCCAGTACTTGGAGTACCACCGCTACCACCTAAAGATCAGGTACCATAAACAGAAATACAGGTAAATTTGGAGTCAGTCACTTAACTCAGTGAGTCATCTTGTCAGACAAGTTGACTCAAGACACATTGATGCATGTGCAGGTAAAACTTTACTGAAATGGTATCTTTCATTGTTGCTGTCGTAGTTAGCTCCGAAGTGGAATCAAGACACTAACTTACTTGTATTGACTAGAATCCTTGCCTCTTCCATCTGGCCATCGAAGTTTGCTCATCAAAATTCTTACAATATTAACAAATAGAATAAAATTGATCTGCAAAATAAATCACACACACACATATCACAAATTCATTTATTTTGAAGTAATAGATTATTCTTCAGCCTTAGAAATGTATTGCTACTGAACAAACTTACAACAATAGAGACCACCACAGGACCTTGAATGAGCCACCGCACATATGTAAGATGAGTATCCCAGCATCTGTTCAAATGAGAAAAATAAGCTGTGATTATATGCTCATGGAAAGTAACTACATTCATTGTCCCTCCAAATGAACACCATGTTGGCAAAATATTAAAGACCTATAATTAAAAAACACAGAGCGTATGTGCCCATCAGATATGGGTTGGCATCCATCGCATTTGTGCAAATTATATGGAGATTGCCCAGGTGTATGTGTTTAACTGTTAGAAATCTTGCATATAACAAACAGGAGAAACAGAAGAAGACGACGCTTTTGTTGCACCTGGTTAGGCATGAGTCAAATGAACTCAAGAAATCCTATTGTCCAATACAGTGTAGAGGCAAGGAGTAATAAACATCATACTTCTGTTTTTCTGCGTAACTGAAAGCTGACTCATATACATGGGTTCATCGCCATTGTGGAGATTACAACATCAGTTACAAAACACACAAAGGTTCCTATATCTTTAATGTTGGTATGGAAGAGGGAATTTCAGCAGGTGTTGCTTGTTATCTATAGCCTGAGAAGCAGCATCAAATTCCTTCTTCCATGCAGCCGTTAAAGAATCCACTTCAGTTTTCAGTGCAACAATTCTGTGAATCTTTACTCACTGATCAGACTTTTTCTAAACCAGAGCATCTCTTGGTTAACTTCAATTCGTTCTCCCTCATCCAGAGTCCATTACTAACATCAGATACTGGTTTAGAACAAAACCTTAGGTTTAAGATTTACTTACTATATTTATACCCAGTCTTTCTCCCCACAAGGACTCAAGGCGGCTAACAAACACAAACTTTGGTGGAAGTTTAAACAAAGCAAATACAAAAATAAACAATTACATAGTACTGTGTGAGACAGATAAGATGGAAAGAATAAGATAAAGGTTGGTTGTCTTCAGCTTTTTTAAACTGTTATGAACATAAAATATATACCAACTCTCCGAAATTGGGTTGCTGTGAGTTTTCCAGGCTCTGTGACCATGTTCCGGAAGCATTCTCTCCTGACGTTTTGCCCACATCTATGACAGGCATCCTCAGAGGTGTGAGGTCTGTTGGAAACTAGGCAAGTGGGGTTTATATATCAGTGGAATGTCCAGGGTGGGAGAAAAAACTCTTGTCTGCTTGAGGCATGTGTGAATGTTGCAATTGGCCACCTCGATTATCATTACATGGCCTTGCAGCTTCAAAGCCTGACTGGTTGTGAAACATCAGGAGAAAATGCTTCTGTAACATGGCTATATAGCCTGGAAAACTCACAGCAATCCAGTGATTCCGGCTATGACAACACTCTCTGAAATTACTTAATATAAAATTAGTCAGTGGTTGGCATGATTTCTTTTCATATCATATGCTAACATTGTTCTAAAGGCAAAGTTCAGAGAGGACTTGTAGCAACACAGCCGTCTTTGCTCCTTAACCTTTAGTTTAAGGTTCTGAAACCACTTCCTTGTTTTTCAAGACAATCTTGCATTGGTTGATGAAGTAAAAATCTCCCCCTGGTGGATGGGAAACTCTCATAATCTAAAATAATCATAATGTAAAAAGCTCATGGCATGAGACATTTTTAAATCATTAACATGCAAGAAGAGAAAAAATGGAACACCTTTAAAACAAGCCAACACATTGGCATTGGCACAAGCTTTATATTTTTGGCAGAAAAAAACAGGGCATTCATTGTTGTTCATTATTTGCTATTCCATGAATAACACATTAATAACATGATATGATATTCTTTTTATGTCATTATCATTGTTATTGTAAAACTCATTCGCCCCAAAGTCTTGGGAGCACATAAGCACTACTTCTTACACCATACAAAAATACTAGCCTACAGGCTGTTATGTTACTTTCTAAGATTAACATCTTTATGACCTTGCTAACCCCCCTGAAGTCTAGGTTATGCCAATGTGTTTAACAACTTATTCCCATGCTTTATCAAGTTCTTTTCATGTTTTTGCTAATGTGTCTGCAATTCTGGAACTCCAAGAAGTGAAAATGCTCAAAACATTCTGCTTAGCTTCTAAAAACACCTTTTAAAGAAATAACGTTTAAAGGAATTAGAAGGCGTAATCCATTAGATCTAAGAAGGAATGCGGATTCTTCTTTTTACATTACTTCTGACATATGAATTCTTTATGCCCCCATGAACAAAAGCAAGTTAATTTCTTCCAGGTGACTGCATGCTTGTAACTCATTATTTTCAAGCTCTGTTTATTTGGGTGTTAGAAGCCAAGGTAATGTGTTTCCTGAGTATTGTGCTATACACGTCATTCATGTGGAAGTAGGAATGGTTGCCATCAGGAATACACAGTGACAGCTCATCCACAGAAAGCTGGGGTTTTCTAGAATCCAATCTTACTTTTTCATTTAGACGTAACTATTGGGTGTCTTTCCTAAATATCCTACTTTTGGTGTTCAAATTAAAATTGTGGCTATTTCATTTAATCATGGAATTGAGTTCCGGGATTTGATGTCCACAAGAGGCTGATGATGATGATAATAATAACTTTATTTTTGTACCCTGCCTCCGTCTCACCGGAGGGACTTGGGGCGACTTACATGGGGACGAGCCTGCTCAACATAGTTAAAATATAACACACTAAAATACATAAACAGCAGCATAAAACAGAACAAAACAACATTATAACAGAATATCAAAGCAACCATCAAACCAACAACAAATGGACCTAAAATAAAACCAATGGACCTGCTGATAAAAATGTATCTCCCTAGTTTTATCCAGATGGCAGTTTTGGCCTATTTCGTTTCCCTTCTTTCCATTCCAAATGCTCTCTAAGGGGTGAACCTCAGGTAATAAAGGAATGGTTAGAAATACAGGGTTAGTCAAAATGAATAGGCCAATAAGAAAATTAATTTTAGACGAATGTATGTTTACTGTAACCAAACCACAGCTACGTAGCGACAGATAAACTATCAAAGTTTTTTTTGAGCAACACACATGTACGTTAATGCCGCTAGGCGTCGCTAGGGGTCGCTGTTTTCAAAATGGCGGAATCAAGCAAAGAGAAGGCGTTTTGTGTGATGACATTTGCTAAAACAATGTCAGTAATTACGGTCCAGCGAGAATTTCGAGCCAAGTATGGCAAGGAACCACCTCATCGACATTCCATTGCGAGGTGGGTAAAGCAATTTGAGGAGACGGGCTGCTTATGCAAGGGTAAAACCACTTAAAACAGCGCATATGTGCTGCATTCGATGCCATTACGTCGGATGTGCTGCAACGGATGTGGAATGAACTGGACTATCGCTTGGACATCTGCCGTGTCACACGGGGCGCCCATATCGAACATCTCTGAAGGTGAGACAAAACTTTGATAGTTTATCTGTCGCTACGTAGCTGTAGTTTGGTTACAATAAACATACATTCGTCTAAAATTAATTTTCTTATTGGCCTATTCATTTTGACTAACCCTGTACATTTTCTACGCATAGTGGGTTGCTTTGGCTTGGAAGTATGCCTTTAAATTTGGCATATTATCTATATAGCATAACATTTAATTCAAGCAGTTATCTCTGTGGGTTGCTTCTTCTTGTGTCATTCAGATCTTTTTTAAAAGGGGTGATAGGGAAAGATAGTACATTAATAAATACCATACTGCTACATCCTGACATATATTTCCTGTCTGGAAGAGCCTCCTCGCGTAACTTCTACACTAGTGCAACTCCGTGGTGGTCCATAAACCAGTGCTAGCCCCAAAATGAATGGCCTCTGGTTCCTGACTTGTTACCAGGAAAAAAAGAAACAGGAAATGGGCACAAAAACACTTATGGTCACCAGCACTTGGGTGGGAACGTTGCAATTTTTACTGGCCAGATATATTCAATTGTTAACATTTTGGTCATATGCTTATTTAGTACTGAATGATGATAATGATGACGGAGGACATAAAAGGTTATGTTAAATGTTTTAGAAAGGTCATGTTCTTACAGCTGTTAATTAATAGGCCTGTCAAAAGACTGAATAGAGAGACAGTTTCTATGAAATGTTCTTATGAAAGTATAACTTCAAGGCAGCCATATTATACAGGTTGAGCATCTCTTATCAAGGATTCTAAAATCCAAAATTCTCCAAAATCCAGAATTGTTCACATGGCTGGCTAAGATAATGAAACCTTTGCTCTCTGATGGTTCAATGTATGCAAACTTTGTTTCATGTGCAAAATATTTTGCAAATAACTGCCTTCAGGCTATACGTATATGGTGTATATGAAACATAAATGAATTATGTGTTTAAACTTGGGTCTCATCTCCAAGATATCTCATTATGTACACATGTACAAAATCCCCAAAAATCTAAAATCCAAAACACACCTTAGCTCTAGCCAAAACATTTCCAAACATTTCAGATAAGAAATATGCAACCTGTTTGATGTTTTGAGTCAAAATGCCTTCCATGTAATATAATATAATGAAGCTAAGTATCCAAAGATTGCTATGACCCCAAGATTAATGTTATGGATATATATATCTATGATTACTTATAATAACTAGTCTGAAATAATACCAAAAAACTTGCTCCTTTCCTGTATTTGTATCCTGAAATTCTAGTACTTAAGAATGTTCAAATGAAGTGCTAACAGTGACTCCGACTATTTGGTTTAACCACTAACACAAATTGAGTACTCAGATGTACTCATGGAGTTGATCCCAGACAGAATCCAGAACTAGCTGATAAGTGACAGAGTCTCAATACCTCTGTCTTAGAGAAGGGGTAAGGATTCATGTCTGTTTCCCAATTCAATATGATAAATATTTATACACACTACAGATATACAAAAAAGTATTGGAACTGGATTAAATGGCATAACATCCTTCAGAAAACTCCCCCACCAACACTAAATTTTTGTAGGGTGCTTTAAAACATGACTAATTGCTTAACAAAACTACAACACCCAGCAACCCTTGATCAGTATTCATCATAGTGAAACAGGTAAGAAATACAACAGGACATAGATATCCACTCAAACATAGGTATCCATGGATGCTTAAATCCCATTATGTACAGAAAGAATTCTTGTCAGCTTGAGGCAGGTGTGAATGTTGCAATTGGCCACCTTGATTAGTAATGAATGGCCTTGTAGCTTCAAAGCCTGGCTGCTTCCTGACAAGAAAGACAATAATTCTTTCTCATACCCTGGATATTCCACCGATATATAAACAAACATCATTTCCCATCAACAGACCTCACAACCTCTGAGGATGCCTGCCATAGGTGTGAGTGAAATGCTTCTGGAACATGGCCATACAGCCCGGAAAACTCACAACAACCCATTGATTCTGGCTACGAAAACCTTCGACAACACATTGTTTCATACATATTTGCATTTTAAACTAATTGTAAAGTTCTCTTCTTGTTGCAGGACTTCTGAGTATTTCAAAAATAGGATTGCAGCCGTTTGAAAACAACTGTCAAAGATTTGTGGATACACAACTGGGGCAATAATTTTAAGTAGGAAGTATAGAAAGATATAGTGGATATATCACTTACCCAATATTTTCATATATCAGTCTGGCTACGACCCATGCAATTAAAAATAAGTTGGGAGCACCTGCAGTGGAGAAAGCTATTTTAATTCAATATTTCAAAAGATGAATAGAAAAAGCCAATCATTTTGTGTCAACAAGATTGGAGAAAAGATGGGAACACCCACAAAGAAAAGCAGTGTTCCGGTGTATGGGTATACACATATACACAACTTTCAAAAAAGGAAGAAATCAGTCCTAGGGTTGCCAGGTGAAATCAGGACATTTTCTTATACTTGTAATGTGTGTGGTTGTGTGCCTTCAAGTTTTCTATCAAATTATAGTGACCCAATGTATTTCAAAGGATTTTCTGAAGCAAGGAATACTCATAGGAGCTTTTGCTAAAGTTTGTTGCTGTATAGTATTTGTTGATACACCTCTATACAATTAGTAACTGAGACTGACATGGCTTAGCTTCCAAGATTAGCTGGGATTGGTGCCTTAAGTGTATCTGCACAGAAAAAGGGATTTCAGCTGAAGCTGCTCATGTGAAAAAACAGACTGGTCTTGCACCTGGCAACCCTACCCAACAAATCTTGGGAACAAAACGATTGAAAATTGGAATATGTACTTTGATGGATTCCTTATATGTTTCTGCCACCCAGTTCTAAGAGTGAGGTTCATGCTTGTTTGAAAGATTTTAGCTCCTTCAATGCCAGGTGGAAGAGAAGAAACAAGGCAACACAAGAAGAGAAGGAAAAGAAAGTGGCAAGGAAAATAAGAAAGCATAGAGAGGGGAGGAAAGAGAGGGGAACAAAAAAGGAACAGGAAGGAATGGGGAAAAGAGAGCCACTGTAACAATGGTCTGCTTCCGCATGACAGACTCTTTGGAATATACCATGTGACAACACTATCTTCATCACACTAGTGACTGAATTCACTTCAAATCTGGTTTCTGCCACTTGCAGAATTCTGGGGTCTGTAGTTTTAGTAAGGCTGTTAAAGGCTCCTTCCTAAACTACAAACCCCAGAATTCTGCAGGAGGCAAAAACCGGATTTATTCTCTAGTGTGATGAGGCAGATATATATCACAACTGCACTGCATTGGTCTCATTTTTGCCTAGAACTTATCACACAATGGCATGGCCCTTCCAATGGTGTGTTGTACCACAGCTGGGTAATTTTCCCACTTGAACTAATATGTTAATGACTCTTTATCTCCCTAGGGCTTAGTAACTATTTTCAGACAAAATTCTTTTTTCTGCTTCATGAAAGATTGGGAGCATAATTAGTATGGTATGTGGCTGGCTTTATTGCTCCTTCCTTGGAGTTTCCCTTGGCATCTCCAGCAGGAAAACCTCATATTATTTCCAAGAGTTGGGTTGGGAGAACACAGAAGTTCACAGGAAAACCACAGTTTGTTCATTTTCTATTCTCTCAAATGTTTCATTACATTATGTTTATTTTAAATGCGGGGAGTAGCACAATAGCAGAATTATGATGTCATCTATCCAATATTAATATCCTGAGAAATCACAGGGTTCAGGAAAAGTTTAAAAAGTAAATAAAGAGTAAATATATAAAGTTGTAAAGAGCAACACACAAAAGTATAGAAAAATTGTGAAAATGACATTGTATGGATGTGTTCATCTTCCCAATTGAGGTATTTCCATAATAGCAACTTTATACAATTGAATAACTGTACAATTATGGCTTCCCATTTAAAGGAAAAAACACAAATTTGAAGCAGAAGGTAGAGCAAACAGGATGGTGTAAAATGGTCCTGCCATATTTTAAATGTGAGAAAGCAAACATGGGAACTTAACACCATTAAAGTGCAAAAGAGGGCATGGCCATACTACTACTTTTCCAAGTACAGGAAAAATGATTTGTAAATGGAATGATGAAAAGCAACTGACTATGATGAGCACCTTAGCTTTACTATTAAAATACATGTTGTTGTTGTTGTTGTCTAGTCATTCAGTCGCTTCCTACTCTTTGTGACCTTATATGGACAAGCCCACGCCAGAGCTCCCTGTCAGCCGTTGCCACTCCCAACTCCTTCAAGGTCAGGCCAGTCACTTCAAGGATACCATCCATCCACCTTGCCCTTGGTCAGCCCCTCTTCCTTTTTCATTCCATTTTCCCCAGCATCATTCTCTTCTCCAAGGTATCCTGTCTTCTCATTATGTGGCCAAAGTACTTCATCTTTACCTCTACTATCCTTCCCTCCAGTGAGTAGCTGGGTATTATTTCCTGGAGTATGGACTGGTTTGATCTTCTTGCAGTCCAAGGCACTCTTAGAATTATCCTCCAACACCACAGTTCAAAAGCATCTATCTTCCTTTGCTCAGCCTTCCTTATGTTCTATTACACCCTCCATAATGGATTTGTGTGTGAAAAGAAACAAGAAATGGTAGGAAAATATGGGAAGGCTGTAGGCAAAAAGTGGTGTTGTCTTGTCCCCACTCTTTCAGGCATCTGAAAGCAGTCTGAGAATCATTGGAAGCGAAGTGACTCATGAGAGACAAGGGTAGCAAAAAAGAAGTGAAATGAACAATGGTGCAGAAGACAAGGAACAGAGCCTAAAGCAATGCCCCCCGGTGTTTTTTATTGAGACCAAAAGCATGCTTACCCCATCCCAGAACTACAAACCACCAGAAGTATTTTCTATCTGAGAAGAAAGAAATGGCCAGCAGGCTATGAAGATAAAGCCCTTCCACAAGAAGCCAACTGTAGTTAGCCATGATACAAAAGTTAATGAAGACCAAGACCATCTTACATCTGCCCTGAGGAAACACAAAGAGATAATATATAGAGTGATATACCAATACACACATAGACAAAATTATTTTTCTTACTTCATCACTTTTTATGTTACATTCCTAAGTTTTAGCATGTTTCATGCACCATTAGTTTAAACATTCATCAGTATATACATTATTTTCATTACATAGTACAACTGTCATATCTGCGGATTTTGTGTGATGCATGAAACCTGTATAATAGTAACCCTTATTGAAATGAAGAATTCTGGCCCAAGAATATTGCAAATTTCTGCTGGAGGGCCTAGAAAATGCCTAGAGAGGACATTTGTCAAATGTAGATAAATTAAACTGAGGATACTGATCCTGCAGATACAAAGGTGGTCATTCTTATCAAAGATTTTGTTTCTTGCCTCTCTTGCCTATTGTTCTTCATTATTTTATTTCTTCTGTTAATGTCTGTGGAAGATATGTCCTCTGTGCTTTTCAGATGTTAATATTTTACATTGCCATAACAACTTTCATAAATTAAAAAAGACTGATATATCTGCAATGAAATGACATATGTCTAATTCATTCTTGAGCAGGGTTTACAAGTTCAAAACTATTTGTAAATTTAGACGGGTATTTTAGATTATCATAGAAAATCCGCTATTGCATGTTATTCCCTGCATTTTAGGTTCAAAAATCTAAAAGACTCTCCTGCCTCATTTGGGCCTGAAATTACATGTGTGAAAAGGCAAAGTGGGGGAAATGCTTTAGTGAATAAGGAATGTCTGGAAATCAGCCAAACAGTTCAGGTGTAGAGATAAGGAAAGAGGTTCATAAGAAGACAAAACAAGAATTCTTGAATCTTCAAAACAAGCAGCTGTCACGTGTTGGTTTTAATACCAGTTCTTGTCTGATCTTGGAAGCTAAGGAGGGTCAGACCTATTAAGAAGTTAACAGGAGAAACAGCTACTATCAGGTGGTGTAGGTTATATTTTGGAAGAAGGAACTGGCAACTCCACCTCTGAGTATTCCTTACCTAAGAAAAATCTATGAAATTTATTGCAGTTGTGTGCTTTCAAGTCATTTCTGACTTGTGGTGACTCCTAAAGTAGAACTATCAGGGTGTTTTCTTGGCAAGATTTATTCATAGGGATTATTCCTTGCCTAAGGAAACCACATGCAATTCATAAGTATTGAAGATGCACACATGAATACACATCATGCCCTAGATACATTGTACTGCAACATACTCAGTGCACAAGGAAATGTACCCAGACAGCTACCATGCAGAGGTACTTAGATTAGTGGTTCCCAGCGTATAGTATTTCATCTGCTTTGGACATCACTTCCCAGAAACACAAACCAATATGGCTTGAGAGCTGAAGTCCCAGACATCTCTTATCTAGATGGCTACACAGTAAACTGGTTACATATCGGTTGTGGATTATTAGCACATATCAAAAAATGTTAATTTATTCTCAAACTTATCGTGAAAGCAGCTTAAACTTTTGGTGGTGGAATAAGACACCATCATGTGTGTCACATTTTTTCATGTCAGGAGCAACTTGAGAAACTGCAAGTCGCTTCTGGTGTGAGAGAATTGGCCATCTGCAAAGCCACTGTTCAGGGGATGCCCAGATGTTTTACCATCCTGGGGGTGGCTTCTCTCATTTCCCCGCATGAGATGCTGGAGCTGACAGATGTGAGCTCACCCTGCCATCCCAGATTCGAACTGCCGGCCTTTCAGTCAGCAGTCCTGCCAGCACAAGGGTTTAACCCATTGCACCACCAGGGTGTGTCACATGAAACATATATGACCTAAATAATGCAGCTGCTCCCTTTTCTCCACAGTTCCCACACACCTACACCAAAATAAGGCCTGTGAAATCACCCTGGCAAGTTTTAACAGGCAGGTTTAACCTATTTTAATTTCAAAGAGCCAAGAGAGCACAGAGTGTGCAAAAGCATTTCAACAAGACGTGGTGGCCAAAACATAGTCTTTAACTCATTCGGCTTACAGGGCTAATAAGGAACAAGAAAGAAATAATTTTCAAATACGTTTTACTTTCACCCTGTAATGGTCTGGACAGTGAGGCTATTTTCAGATGTTCTTTTCTTACCGTGCGTAATTCACAGTAGACAGCATCATCTGTGTCCTCAAACAGTACAGGATCTTTAATGAAGTTTGCAATGGCCCGCAAAATGAATGAAACAAAAAGCTGCATGTGGATATAATTCCTTGTACAGCGAAGTCTTCTGTTTCTCAAAGGGAACAACATGGTGCAGGTTTATACATTAGTAGTAGCTTGGTAAATTGCATCACTTACATAAATTTTTGAAACAAGGTTTGGAAAAAGTTCTTTTAGGCTAGAGTTCTCCAGAATATTTCAGTTAGCGTGGTTCACTACAATGGTGGATTATGGAAGTTATTGTAGTCGTTATAGCCCAACATTTTCCCAGTTTGTGACTCAAGGCAGTTTCCAACAATGAAAACAAACATTAATTAAAATTAATAGCATACAAAAATCACAGCATATGAAGTAATATTAATACAAAAAATGCACTTTATTTGTATACTGCCCTATCTCCCCTAAGGGACTCAGGACGGTTTCCAACATGTAACGCAAACATTCAATTGCTGGAAAGAAACCATACAGACAATTACATCAAAGTAACACATTAGACAAAATAACACAACCTAAGCAACTTAATAGACAAAATAACAACTAAAAACATCATAAAAATACAAAGAAATCTGCTAAAACACATTAAAGACAACAATACTAAAACTCCAGTTCATTGTAGCTCCATTGTAGCATTGTAGTACCTGTGATCCCTGTCCACTGGTACAGATTAATGAGGGGATTTTTTTTCCTCTGCATATAATACAGTGTTTGAAGATCATGGGCAAGGGTAGTCACTGGTAGTTTCCTCAGCCTTTGTGTATGCTCAAGGACTCGGAGAAAAGGTATTGGTGACAACCAATACATTATGGCTAACTAGAATTAATATCTTCGGGATACTAGATGATATATTTAGCAAGCTGTTATTTTGATTTGCAGAGGTCCTCCCTTAAGAGATAAAATACATTCTTCAGTCTTGATGTTGTTCTGTGCCTTCAAGTCATTTTTTACTTAATGTGACTCTATCACAGGGGTTTCTTGGTGAGATTTCGTCAGAATAGGTTGGCCATTGTCTCCCTCTGAAGCTGAGAAAATGTGTCTTACCCAAGGTTTGACCAGGGATTTAAATCCTGTCTCTGGTCATACTACAATGGTCAAACCACTACACCATTATGGTCTTAATGTGTTATTTTCTTCACTTGCATATCTTGCATATAATGTGAACTGTTTCATGATTCTGAGACTTTTTTTGATGTGAATGGTCATTAGCAATTCTGATTTCTGAGTAATGTATATCTGAGGAGATCCCATTGTAAGAGAGAAAAGAGGGAATGTACTGCCAATTTAACAACTAATCTTGGAGCCCTATCCTTCATTTCAGTTCATAAATGTGATTTAATAATCATTCTGTAGATGAATTAAAAAAAACTATACAGGAATGAGATGAAATGTAGACAAGCAATCTTTCCTCACCTGAAAGAAGACAAAATGCCCAGGGCAATTGTCAGTGCCACGAGAGAAACACCGGTCCCAACTGTGTACACAGTTTCCAGCTTCATCAGATACGATACCTGTACAGAAACATGCAGGAAGACTTCATTCATGACAAAGTACATTCATGTAAGACCCTTAATCTTGGCTTAAATTTCTTATCTGAAAATCAAGGTAAGAGATAACATTATTTTTTCAGAATGTACATTTTAATTTTTCATTCTAAACATGCCATACATTAATTTTGGTATTGGCTATAACAAAAATGATCAGAAATCAGACATACACTCCCCAAACTAATAGAAACAGGCTTGATTTCAAATAAAAAAGAGTATGGTGAAGAAACAATATTATGATGCTTGCTATGTGTGAACCGCCTTACATGCTACTTGATGAGGGCCTGCATTCATGTGATTGTCATTGTCTGCATCCATTTTCACTCTGCTCTTAACCACAGCCATGCGTACCTGAAGCATCTAATAAAGTGGACTGTAACCCATGAAAGTTCACAGTAAAATAAATACTTAGTCTATTAAGAGTACACAAGTTTTGTATTATTAATGTTGTTTCGTTTACTGAGACAGACTAACATAGCTGCTGCCCTTTTGAAAATATATGAATTTATTTAGTGGTGCCTACCTTTACAATGGTCTTATACCAGTAAACAACAGAATTAGATTGTATTGCCTTGCTAATCTTGCCACAGAGAACAAGACTCAAAGAAATACAATACCATATAGAACAAATGAGAGATGGCCTTTGATTCTTAAACTTCAAAGACATTATCTTTAATAAGATGCTATCTGATAGGGGTAATGCTATGCTTTGTCACTAGATGCTGCTGTTACAACGTAATTCCCTGTGTTGCTCTTTATTGTTGTGCTCAAGCTTTATTAGTTCTCTTGAAACAATTCAAGGAATAATAAACACAGTCATGGTAAGTATTGTTGGGGGGGGGGGAACGGACTTTGTTCTTCCAAAAACATGCATGGCTAATACATATTTTTTAAAAATCAGAAGAATCAACATGGTTCATTCCCCTAAGGTAATTTCAGACTCATTAAAACGATCTACATAATCACTTTCATCGAAGAAAACTTGAATTTGGCTGGTTATCAAGCAAAGAAGCACTGTCCGCAAAAGGAAAGATCTGAGACAAGTTGATAGTTGTTCAAGTCAAGTGATTATTCCTATAGACCAGGGCTATTTTATGGTGGCCCATGGACTGATCCCAGTTTCTCGGCAAGTCTACACTCAGCCAGGTAGAAATGCCTAGAATATATTGTGTGTGCCTTCATACATTTTATAGCACATACAAAGGGATATTATGTCTGCCTTTGGTTGTTTCAACTCACCTTGTGTTCCCACTCAATCAGGGGGGCATTAATTTCCTCTGTATTCAGGCCACAAGCAATGTATGGCCTTGGATATTTTTCTGACCAGCCTTCCCTGGTGCAGTTACGATATATAAATCCTATATTTCAGTTACAGGGACAAAGCAATACACATGGTTAATTATTGTCACAATACTCAGAAATTTTCAAAACATTCCAACATCACTGAAAGTTCTTGTTCGTTACTGTTAAATTCAAGCTATGGTTATCATATTGTGCTGTGGACCATAAAGGAAAAATATTTTAAAAGATAGGCAATAGTATTTTGTCCCTTTCACTATAATAGTCCCTTTTTTATCCACACAGGGGGCAATTCAAACAGCATAATGTTATAATTTATATCTATATTTGTACATAGTCAATGGACAAAGAAGGTTCTCACATACACTGTGTGCAATGTGTTGCTATTATTTTTGTTTTGTAAAGAAGAATTCAATGCTAAATGAAGGTCATTCAGAGAGGATACAGTTCAGGCCTGAACTAGATCTCAGGAGTTTTCTCATAAGGACTTGAGAAAGCTCCCACTAGATCAAATAAAAAGGTTCATCTGATCTCATCCGTAGCACTGCCAAAGTTAAAACACATTCATATTTTGGATTATAACTAGCAGAATAAGATCATCAGCATAACACTGGCCAGGAAATTTGGAGAATTGTAATCCAAGACCCATATCCGCACCCCAAGTACGGATCCCTACCAAAATGTTTTGTACAATGGCCAATCATGTGCCTCTGAGATTCTGCAGCTCTATGATGAAAACAATTGTTGTCTACTCCCACTACTGCTCCCCCTGTTAAGCTGCATTCCAGTAGAATTTGGAGAGCCAAACATCCTCCAAGCCTATTTTCATTCTTTGACATTGTACAAGGAGGAAATTGGCCTTTCACAATGTCCCTTGAGTACATTTTGTTATTTGTCATTTTACCTGTTTGTCCAGTTACCATTTGGAAGGCTTGAGGACAAGACACATTAACAGTTTGTCCAACAGAAGAAGACAGCCAGCATGTTAGATTATCCCACATTCCAGGACATCTGCCTAAGGTTTAAGAACAACAGGAGCAACAACAATAAATACAATTGAAAGCCATTGGCCTTACCCTGAAGAACCATAAAGAGATCCCCTCTTTGCTTCAGCACTTCCCCAATTAGTTGCCCTTCAAATATGTGGGACTACACTTTCCATCATCCCCAGACAGAGAACAAGCCAATCAGTTTGGAAGATATAGGAGCCTCGGTACCCCAATGGGTTAAACTTTTGTGCCAGCAGGACTGCTGACCTGAATGTCAGCAGTTTGAACCTGCAAGATGGGGTGAGCTCCCATCTGTCAGCTCCAGCTTCCCATGTGGGGACAAGAAAGGAGACTCCCACAGGATGGTAACACATCCAGAGGTCCCCTGGGGAACGTCCTTGCTGATGGCCAATTCTCTGACACCAAAGGCGACTTGCAGTATATTCTCGGTTCACTTCTGACACAATTAAAAAAAACTTTGGAAGATTGTACTCAAGGCTTCCATTGAGAGGTGAATTGCAATATGACACTCACTAGAGCATGGGGATATAATAATAATAAAAAGACTAAAAGCAGCGAGGCACTTTAGGAAGATCTAAGGCATTTTATTTCATACCCCACAAATAATTACTAAGCAATATGACAAAAAACTGGAAGCAGGATAGCAAAGCTAGAAAGCATAATAAGGTAATGAGAAGTTTTAAAAGCATGGTTTACAGTAGCATCCTGTACATAGGTTCAATGGGATTTAATCCCAAATTAGCATTAAAAACAATTAAACAACAGATATACATGAGGGGTAGAAATAGCACAACTTTCCAAATGTTTTGGGACTATAACACTGGTAATGTGAACAAAAACAAACTGCGACCAAATACTTGAGTTAAACTAGGGGTTTAGAGCACTGATATTTGATGAGATGAGAAGAAACTCAATTGTAGGTTCTCGCTGTAGTATTTTACTCTAGTGCTAGTCAAAGGGAATGGACAAGCTGTGATATACAGAGCAGTGGTGAGCCTTAGATTCAATATAACACAATGCAACATCGTTCTTTCTCTCTGAAGCTACTTCTATTTTCCAGCTGGTGGGAAAGTAGAAAGGACTCCTTTCTATTGACTCAGTAGTTTATAATACACATGCTTTGATTTAGGCTACTTAGAGGTCTACATCATGTACAATCTACCCAGCACATGAATTGGCAGCATACAAGTCTGCCCATTAACTAATCCTAACTACTGAACATTAATCAAGCTGCTCCGGGAGCCTTTGTCAAAGAAATCCTGGTGAGGGTGCTTTGAAATACACCGTTGTGTTCTGTCATACCTTACAAACACCCAGTCGTTGTGGGTTTGGCATTTGTAACAGAGTGCCCCTGACAGCAACAACACTGAGCACAGTGGGAGTCAGAGCAAAGACATAGGGCCATTCAGGTCAATTTTTCCCACAGACTCAACAGTTGCCTATTGGGTGGATATAATAATCTGAATTCCACTCACTGATTAATAGGGAAGGAAAGGCCACTGTTTTGTTTACTGATACCAATAAAACTTCATTAATCAAAACCAGGAAGAAGCAAATTAATCTTGTTGTTCAATCAGGCCTTGTTCTTGACTCTCTTTCCCAGTAGGCCACCCTTTCCAAGTCACAATTGGTCATCTGTAGATACCATAAAAGGGAGCATAAATCATTCTGGGCATTAGATTCATTACTTGGCTCCCACAGGTATACCTAGGGGTGGAAGTGCATATGCTTCTTTTTTCAAATACTAATAAAAAAGCAGAAAAGCAAGAGTCAAAATGGCCAAAGAGAGTTGAAAGTGGTTTAAAGTTCCAGAACTGACACATTCTTGCAAGGGCACGAAAAAGGGGACACTCTGTTACCAACAATTTGTGAAGGGTGTCAGCACTTTAGCAGATTATATTAGTTAAATGATTATGGAGAAAAAGGACTTAGAGATCTTGAAATTGTTTTAAAAAATAGATTATGCCATTGGCAAATCACAGTTCCTCACTCATGCCAAAACTGCACTGAACAGAAAACAATATACTTGAAAGAAGAAAGGTTTTAATTAATGTTGCAAATGAACTTTGCAAAGCAGGCTAAAACAAAGATCTTGTTTATTACTATATAAAATAGCATGTTATCAAAAGCTCCATGGGACTAGCATCATAATTCTGCATCTAGTGGAAAAAGCAAAATCTCAGCAGTGTTAAAGAATAATAGAACCGAAGCAAGCTATCCGTGATTCTGAATCATGGATCCAAAATGGGTTTAGCACCTTGGATAACTCCTTTAAAATCTGGAGCAGATTCACCGTCGCACTGGTGTGGAAGCTACCATGTGCCACTGCAAATGCTGGTGTTGTTGGGAAGCACAAAGTAAGCCACTGAAGTTCTTCCTCTCTCTTCTCTACCCTTGTGTAAATAGACCTTCACAATGTAATCAGTCAAATTTCATTGACCTAAACAAAAACCTATATTGAACAAATGGGATCACAGTTTTATGACTATGACAGATCAAAATACGGTATCTTGCTATCAACCTTGTGTTTTACCTGAACTCCCCAGCAATTCATTGTTCGCAGTCCTATTTGCTTCTTCTTGGGCAAGGGCTAAGGTGCACAGTTCTTCCTCCATCCTCATGATTTGCTTGATTTCACATGATGAAATAAAGGCCCTGGCCTGCTAATTTAGAAAGCGAGCACATTTTTATTAGTTGACAGCAACACATAAAATACAACATCTACATAGAAATTGCACAAGCAGTTTCTGGTTTGTATGATAAATTATTTCTTTAAGGAACTGTTTTAAAATAAGAGAGTGCCTTTTGAATATCTGCCTTTTTGAGCCTATTTTGTCCCAATTTTCATGTGGGTTATGATCTCAGAGGCTTCTGTCATGTAGTCACCCTAGACCTAATTTATACACTTTTACATGAGATCCAAATCACCTATTTTATTATTATTATTATTATTATTATTATTATTATTATGTATTTATACCCTGTTTTATCTCCCCTGAAGGGGACTGAAAGTGACTTAATGTAAAAGCATCAGCATAACAATTTAAAAAAATACAAATATACGAACATTAAAACAGGATTAAATATAACCTGTATTTTAAAATTCCCAGTTAAAAAAAACACATTCAAAGTTTAAAACCACAGCATCCCCATAATTGATCTTAATCACCTTATTTTCCATTTGCAATTCTCTTATACTATAATTTCAGTCCTTTTTCTTGCACCAAACATCCACTAAAGAGCAAAAAATTGGACAATGCCTTTTTAAAAGTAATACTAGAAAAACCTTACAGAAGCAGTTCAGCTCTGGAATATTTCAATTTACGGCCCTCCTGTTGGATAGACAAAGAGCAAGGTCTCAAGTAGCCGATTGCTGGAAAGCATACTTCAGTGACATGATACTGGGAGACAAAATTCTGTGTGCCAAATACTCTTGAAATCAGTTCATTACCCAAAGCTATGGTGGAAAAAATATGGTCACCTTTGTTGAACTATTTGGCCACTAATCCAATCAACCCCCTGATATGGAATGAAAAAGAAGGAAGTGGATGCTTCCTTTTGCTCTACCTTAGAAGGGAAAATGAGCCAATGTCCTGTACCTTATAGAGGAAAAGGGATCAACCCTGTTCAAACCAATGGTCAAGAATCCATACGCTTCAACATTTTAAAGATGAAATCAGAGAGACTTGTGTCAAAGCAACAAGGCGCAAAGGGTATTAGTGAAGTAGAACATACAAGCTATGACAGGCCATAGCAATTTGCATTTTCCTGAGCCTACAGAGAAGTGCAAGATCGTGTCCATCTTATCTTTCTACAAATAAATCAATTCAATGAAAACTAGTTTTGAAGTCTGTACTGAGTTTGCAGCAAAGGGAAGTAAGCAGAAGCAACAAAAGTTTGTGTACATTAGAAAGCAAAGGTGTCACTAGCTCAGCCACCCACGTGGACAATTTTGAACTTTGGAAGATTTCCGATATCTGGATAAGAATGAGACTTAGACTGCACTGCTAAATGGGTTATTATTATTAAAGACTTACTCTTGAATGTTTTGACTACAGACAACAAAGATACCATATATATTTGAAAGCAAAGGAAGTTCATGATCCAAATAGGAGTCACCTCGCTCTAGCCGCTCAGGATGAGCATATCCTCACTCCAGTCACAAACTTCCCATGTTAGAAAGACCTCAGATTAGCACTGCCAGATAGAACTCAACTTTAATGAGATGGGCCTTTGCCACCAGGCAAATGAGTTTTGGGGTCCTATTTATCCTCATGGCCAAATATTAAGAGTTGTCCAGTGGTGTGAAAGAGTCAACTTATATTAGTGGCCTTGTAAAATTATTTTTGCACTAGCTTAGCAATTTGAGGCTGTAAAAAGACATAAGGGCTGAGAACAGAATGGGGAAATGAATTTATTGATCTTGCTAACCTTTGGTTTTCTTTGTTTGCATTTGCACTGTTTAACCTTTGGGAATCAGTCTGCCATTGCCCGAGAATGGGTGCACCAACACTGGGGACTGAATGTGATGGCTGGTTGGGAGACAGTCTAATTGGCATGTCCATAGAGCAGTGGTTCCCAATCCTTTTTTGACTAGAAACTACTTTGACCAGAGACCACTCTCCAACATTAGTACCAAAGGTGTTACAAATCAGTTTTTGGTCAAGTTTAGATTCTATTTGGTTATTTGAGGTGTTGATTCAGACAATTACATTAGATAGATCACATCAACTCTAGTTTCTGATTCAGAACATATACCATCCAGTAGTCGCCATTTGCTCGCCCACAGAAAACCATATTTAATAATCTAGAGCTGATATGATAGTAGTAATCTTTCATGGGTATTTAGTCTCTCTACTTCTGACATCCCCGTTGCCTCGGCACTATAAGAGGGTTTAAATGCACCAGTTACTCTCATTACCACGTGGTTTTGAGGCAACGGTGTAGTAATGGTGAGGCTGAGGACCATATTTTCATTCTTGTGGACCACTGGTGGTCCACGGACCCAGGTTGGAAACCATTGCCCTAGAGGCTTAATTCTATCACCGGCTGTGAGGGATTCCCATCACAAAAGGGCCGGAATAATTCAATATTATGTACCATCTGATACTTTATTGACCACCAGTAAAGCTTGTCTTAATAGAGTAGCAATACGTGTCAGTGATAATTCAGCACTGACAGAATTCTTAGGAAGTCCTGAAACTGTACCCGTTTCCACAATAAAGGGGCAAGCAAGCCTTGAAATGCCTATTAACGTTTAATTTGAGCTTTGTCAACTTCCACTATCCTTTATTCTGTACTCTAGCTGCTTTTACGTTGTCTTTCTCTTACAATAGCTCCTCTTTCTTAATGCATTCCTCTGTTTTTATGTGATGTTCTCTTTTTAAAAATTTCCTTTCCACCTCCTTTTTTCTGCTTCAAGGAAGGAGGCCCCTTTTCCATTCCCCACCCCATTCTAAACCCATCTTTTCACCAGCCACCTTATCCTCTTCGTTCCACCATGTAAATATACAAACAAATACACATGGGCTCTTACATCCAGATGGCACTGCTGCAAACCAGGATGTTCGGAAGCAGAAGAATGCACCATTGCCATAAGAAGGCATGGTAAGAGCAGCCCTGGGTGTGTCTTCTTTTCTTTTCCATCAATTTGTCTGCCCTGTTCATTTGTTTATTTAAAATATTTTTATATTGCCTTTTGAGGCTAAGCTTCCTCAATGCAATTGACTTGTTTAACAAAAATGATAGATTCACAAATAACACAATTCAGATTTCATTAAAATATGTGAATAATGAACTGTTTGCTCCAGCAGCCTGTGTTCATTCTCTTTCTTCTTTTATACATAATTAACTATTTTATTGTTGTTGTTTGTCTTCAAGTTGTTTCTGATTTATGGCACCCTTAGGCCCCTTCCACACAGCTGAATAAAATCCCACGTTGTCTGATTTGAACTGAAATATATGGCAGTGTGGTCTCAGATAACCCAGTTCAAAGCAGATATTGTGGGATTTTCGGCCTTGATATTCTGCGCTATATGGCTGCGTGGAAGGGCCCTGAGTCAGCAAGATTTGTCCAGGGCGAGAGGTTTGCTATTGCCTTTTTCCTAGGATGAGAGAGTGTGTTTGCTCAAGGTGGGTTCCGTGACTGAGTCCTGATCTACAGAGTCCTAGTCCAACATTCAACAATTACAGCATGCTATCTCACTGACCGCTTTCTCATCCATTTCATTTTTTTCTTCCCTTTATATCTTCCCCTCTCAAATTTTGCATGTCATATCCTTGTTTTATTGTCAGTTCTCTTTCTCATAGATACAGCACTACCTACCATGTATACTGGGAGCCACTATTAGCATTAGTTGAACTAAAAAGACGTGACACAAGAATATATATATATTTAAAAACCCACACCCTATGAAATGCTGTTTAATCCATAGAAGGAATGCTGTTTAATCCATAGAAGGAATGCAGCTCATTGATGACTTTGCCTATCAAAGGCTATCACTCAAACTCTGTGACAAAGTAAAGTGAACCTTAGTCTAAGTAGCAACCAAGAGTCTAAATGGTAATCCTGGAAGAGCTTAAGAGATGTGCAGTCAAGGGTTCTTCTATTGTAGAATTAATGCAGCTTGACAATATTTTAATTGCCAGGGCTCAATGCTATAGAATCATGGGGTTTGTAGTTTGGTGAAGCACCTGAACTCTTTGCCAGAGTTTAGGTTCAGAGGCAAAAGACGTAGGACATCATCACACTAGAGCAGTGGTTCCCAACCTGTGGTCCGTGGACCACCAGTGGCCCGCAAGAACTAAAATATGGTCTGCGGCCTCACTATTACTACACGGTTGCAACAAAAGCAACTGGTCTTGCGAAACTCTCTTATAGTGCTGAGGCTTATTAAATACAGTTTTCTGTGGGTGAGCAGATAGTGACTACTGGATGGCATACGTTCTGGATCGGAAACTAGAGCTGATGTGGTCTTTCCAATGCAATATTCTGAAATAGCACCCCAAATAACCAAACCAAATCTAAAGTTGATCAAAAACGGATTCATAACCCTTTTGGTACTAATGCTGGTCAAAGTGGTCTCTGGTCAAAGTGGTCCCTGGTTAAAACAAAAGATTGGGAACCACTGCACTAGAGCATCTATCGACTTTAAATCCAGTTGCTACTGTCTGCAGAATTCTGAGATTTGTAGTTCAGGGAGGGGCTTTTAAACTGTTCAGCCAGAGAGGTCCTGGTCCTCACTAAAATACAAATTCCAGAATTCTGCCGAAAGCAGCAATTGAATTTAAAATGGATAGATGCTCTAGTGCAGAGTTTCTCAAACTGTGCTCCTCCAGATGTTTTGGAATTCAGCTCCAAGAAATCCTAGCCCATTTATCAGGTATTAGGAATTGTAGGAACTGAAGTCTAAGGCACAGTTTGAGAAACACTGCTCTAGTGTGATGAAGTCCCTAGTTAAACCAAAACTCCCAGGATTCCATGGTATTGAACCTTGGTAGTGGAAGTGATATCAAACGGCATTCATTCTACAGTGCTGATCCACCTGGATATGGAAGAAACCATCCATGGGATGATGATCACACAACTGCTCCACAAAGCTGGACTCCGTGAAAGAGTGGCAATAAGAAAACCATTGCTGAAACCAACTAATATTAAAGATCCTATGGAATTTGGGAGACAAAGCAAAGATGTGGGGAAAGATTTTCTGGTTTGATGGGACTTAAACTGAACTTTTGGGCCTTTCCACAAAACACTATGCAGGGCACAAAGCCAATAAAGTTCATTGCCATGAGAACAGCCCCTGTACAATGAAATATGGTGCTTGCATGTTGTGGGAATGTTTATCCTTGGCATAGATTCAAAAAATGATCAAGATTGAAGCAGGATGGGTAGAACAGAATGCAAAGCAATGCTAGAGGGTAAAATTGTTACTTATGCTAGGAATGTGAGGCCGGTATGGACAATGACTCCAAACATGCCAAGTACTTCTGGAGTGGCCTAAAATAATAACTGCCTGTCTAAGAATGCATCTACACTGTAGGATTAATGCATTTTCATGCCAGTTTAACTACCATGGCTCAATACTATTCAATTCTGACATATGTAGTTGGTGTGGTACCAGCACTATTTGGCAAACAAGGCCAAAGACCTTGGAAAACTTCAACTCCCAGGATTCCATAGTACCTAACCATGACTAGAGTGTTGTCAAACTGCATTACTTCTACAGTATAGATGCATCCTTAGAATGGCCCAGAAAAGCCCAGATCTCAGTCCAATTGTGGATCTGTCACAGGACTTGCATGCTGCAAATCATCAATACTCCTCCTCAGGCATGTAGCCGGGGGGGGGGGGGGTTGAGGGGCTTCAGCCCCCCCCCCCCCCCCCCCCCCGAAATTCTCATGGTGGTTCGAAAAGGCCTTACTGGTGCATTATTTAAACTGCTATGTTTATTCATATCATGATCTGATCACCATACTCAATATATCCCATATGCATGGGGGTTTGCTAGGGTAGACCCTCTTTCACTCAGACTCAGCCCCCCCCCGAAACTCAGCCCCCCCAACCCCCCAATCGAAATCCTGGCTACGGGCCTGCTTCTCCTCTATTCTGACAGAGCTGGGGCAATTTCATTAAGAAAAATTGGTAAAAAAGCAAGGGTCAAGATACACAAAGCTGATAGTTACAGCTACTCTACCCAAGACTTTTCTACCAAGTACTGGCACTTCCTGAGTTAAAAATATCTGACTTGCAAATGACTCATAGTTAAGCACAGGGGCAAGACAACAGGAAGTGAGAGAAATCTACCCCTAGGAAGGGAAATTCACCCCTAAAAGTATTATCATAAGAAAAAGATGTCTCCACTGAAGCTTTCCACTACAAGCCTTTTTCCCCCCAAATCCAATTATCACAGGGACAGATAGTGAACTGAAATCTTTTGAAGAGGAGCACAGACAGCAAAACAAACACAACAGGGGTATTAACCCTTCCTGATGCAATCCAAAGCTCATATATATGTATATGGCTTGAGTTATACTTTTAAAATGTACCTGTTTCAATTTACACACAAATTCTACTTAAAAACAAACCTACAGAACCTATCTTGTTTGTAACTTGGGGACTGCCTGTATCGGGGGTGGGTGAATATTTATGTAACCAAAAATGTCTTTGTTTATTTGACATCAGTGCTATAATTAAATCTTTGCACCTTCACAGTATCTTTTGTGCATGAAGTAGATATTAATGTCACTTCCAGGTTATAAAACAAAATATTGAAAAGTCGAAGAGGGAAGGGAAAATATATCTGCTTGAACTGTACTGTAGAGACACCTATAGACAACTTGCTTTTTGGATTATATGCTGGGAGCACTTTTTAGACTAGATGGTTATAGTACCAAAAGTAGTATTTTCAAATTCTATTCTGGGCACATCATGGTTAGTCTTGTGAAACAGTCTGTCCCAAGCCAGAATCTCACTTTTGGAAACAGGAGTGACAATCATTCTCTCACTGCATTCACACTACACCAGTGATTCTCAACTTGTGGGTCCCTAGATGTTTTGGCCTTCAACTCCCAGAAATCCTAACAGCTGGTAAACTGGCTTGGATTTCTGGGAGTTGTAGGCCAAAAACATCTGGGGACCCACAGGTTGAGAACCACTGCACTAGAGAATCATGACAGTTTGGTATTTCTTGAACTATCATGACTACTTCCAATTGAATTCTGGGATACATAGTTAAGTGACATACTAAGTATTCTCTAGTGTACTTATTTGAATGACAGCACTGAGTTTTATGTAGCAGATAATTCTAATTACCTTCAAAACGAAAAATCCCAGGATTTCATGGCATAGCCATTATGATTAAAGTAGTACCAAAGTGTTATAAGTGTGGATCTACCTATCCCTAGATGTTAGGAAGTGCAAGAAAAAGTTGCCATCTTTCTGCAACCATAGGAATATAAGTGTGGAGAGCGATCTGTGGTAAAGAAACACAGTGCCCCAGAATATGACAGGATGAAGAGCTTGCCTTATTAATCCTCACCCAATCACTAGTGTATCTCTGGGATGGCCCACATCAAATTCTCAACATTTCTAGGCTCTTCTAACTTCCAACATGGGAAGAGAAACCGGAGCTGCTCAGGTCAAACCATGATGATTTATAACAAGTCTGCTCTGTTTTATTTCCAAACAAGACATTTTCCATCTCTCAAGAAGGAAAGAGAATGCTCACCTCACCTTGTAAACATGTCAGAAAATGTAAACGGGACATAATATTTCCAGAAGAGCCTACCATTGTAAATACTAGGTTCATAATGTTCATAAACGTAGGTCAAGTTAGATGTCTGAAAAAGGCAAGAGCATGAAACTTGTTCTGCTGGAAGGAGTCAGCAACCAACGAGACCAAAAGGTACCACCATCACCAACAAAGTGTATGTTCCTATGTACCAGCTCTGCAGTATCTAAGGAAAGCAAACTATTTCCATTCTCCTACTGGTCAGGAAGCTTAGCAAAGAGTGTATAATGTAAAGGTAGAGTATAGGTCTCACTCCTAGCAGTTATATACAGTATATCCTAAAACAACAATAATATTT